AAGGAAATATGTAACAAGATTCATCAAGAAAGACAACAAGAGGCAAAAGGGTCTTAACAGCCACCTGAGTTCTATAAGCGCTGGAGCACAAGGGTCTTAACAGCCACCAGAGTTCTATAAACACTATAGACACGAGTGTCTTCACAGTCAGTCCAGATCTGTACATGCTAGCAAGAGCACAAGGGTTTTAACTGTCACCTGAGTTCTATAATGCTAGAGCACAATTGCCTTAACCATCACCGCAGTTCTATAAAAGCTACAGCACAAGTGTCTTAATAGTCACTTGCGTTCTATAAATGCTAAAGGATAAATGTCTTAACAGTTGTCTGAGTTCTATAAACACTAGAGCACAAGTGTCTTAGCAGTCATCCAAGTTCTATAAATGCTACAGCACAAGTGTCTTAACAGTCATCTGAGTTCTATAAATGCTACAGCACAAGTGTCTTAACAGTCATCTGAGTTCTATAAATGCTACAGCACAAGTGTCGTAAAAGACATAAGAGTTCTATAAATGCTAGAGCAGAAGAGTCATGCAAATATATACTCTGCATTAAACTAACTTACATCCTATGTTGATTTGTAGCTTTCCTATATAAACTATATCAAAATTCTCTCTCTCCCCTGGTGAAATGTGAGACCCTGTGGTCATGATATTAATATTTTTGAGCATCTTTAGATCCTTCTATCTATGAAAAGTACTTAAGAAAATATGCTCACAAAGGAAATTTTTCTATATAAGCTACAGTAAAATATTCTCCTCACAGGAAAATGTGAAATCCTGGGGTCATGAAATTCATAACTTTGGTAAAGCACCTTAAGACTTCCCCATTCATGAACAGTAATTGATTCTACCATATCTGGGTGTTGAGTAAACACAGCTTCTTTTGGATCTGTCTTTACAGCCTGATGGGGATAAGGACAATAATGTTTACTGTTTTAGTTCACCTTGGCCATGCAACATTTGAGTAAAATGTCAATAAAATTGGTTCAAGGGTTTTCCAGAGAAGTTAAAAAGTCAATTATCTATAATGAATGACGCACAAAGCCAGACAAAAGGCGATCGCAATAGGTCAACATGAGGCTTTGTCACCGGTGACCTAAAATAGATTTAAGATAAATACATGTGTCTCTACTACAGTGCAGAACAGAACCAGCAATGGTAAATCTGGATTTAAAGAACTAAATCAGTTCTTTAAAAGGGGATGTACAAATGATCTGTGATGGAACAAACATTCTAGAGAGGTGAAGTCAAGGAGAATTTGTCTCGATACAACTATAACTATAAACAATAACAACAACATGCACCCTGATTTTTTAACTTTCACATTTAAAACAACAAAGTAAAAATGTAGTTGAGTTTTCACAATGGCTTCTGTTGATCCCAGGTACATTTGAATTTATTGTTTAAAAGAAACATAGCACCAGCTATGATCCAGATGGAAAACCAAGGGAGATAATCTAAGGATCTATAACCTGATATTAAATGTAAACATTAAGGAACCTTACAACTTTGCCTGGATACTGATATATGGTGAAGAATAGTTTGACTGTGTCAGGGGTGAAAACAGTCAATTCCAGAAGTAAAAATTTTATCATTTCATTTTAAAGAGCAAAGACAGAATCTTAAGAATTGTTCAGACAGTATTCTTTGGAAAGAACATAGAATTGGTGATCAACACCAGGTAAAGAAATTCTCAAACTATCACAAACTGGAAGACAGGAAAGCACATGTACTTCCTTGATGAAAAAGTTCTGTCATGTTCATGATGTTGAATCATTATAACAAAAATTACATTGTTAAAGCAGATAAAAGAGGTCTGATCCTGGCAGATAAAGGAGGTCTGATCCTGGCAGATAAAGGAGGTTTGAACCAGGCAGATAAAGGAGGTCTGATCCTGGCAGATAAAGGAGGTCTGATCCTGGCAGATAAAGGAGGTCTGATCCTGGCAGATAAAGGAGGTCTGATCCTGGCAGATAAAGGAGGTCTGATCCTGGCAGATAAAGGAGGTTTGATCCAGGCAGATAAAGGAGGTCTGATCCTGGCAGATAAAGGAGGTCTGATCCTGGCAGATAAAGGAGGTCTGATCCTGGCAGATAAAGGAGGTCTGATCCTGGCAGATAAAGGAGGTCTGATCCTGGCAGATAAAGGAGGTCTGATCCTGGCAGATAAAGGAGGTCTGATCCTGGCAGATAAAGGAGGTTTGAACCAGGCAGATAAAGGAGGTCTGATCCAGGCAGATAAAGGAGGTTTGATCCAGGCAGATAAAGGAGGTTTGATCCTGGCAGATAAAGGAGGTTTGATCCAGGCAGATAAAGGAGGTCTGATCCTGGCAGATAAAGGAGGTTTGAACCAGGCAGATAAAGGAGGTCTGATCCAGGCAGATAAAGGAGGTCTTATCCAGGCAGATAAAGGAGGTATGATCCTGGCAGATAAAGGAAGTCTGATCCAGGCAGATAAAGGAGGTTAGATCCTGGCAGATAAAGGAGGTCTGATCCTGGCAGATGAATGAGGTTTGATCCTTGCAGATAAAGGAGGTCTGATCCAGGCAGATAAAGGAGGTCTGATCCAGGCAGATAAAGGAGGTTTGATCCTGGCAGATAAAGGAGGTCTGATCCAGGCAGATAAAGGAGTTTTGAACCAGGCAGGTAAAGGAGGTTTGAACCAGGCAGATAAAGGAGGTCTGATCCTGGCAGATAAAGGAGGTTTGAACCAGGCAGATAAAGGAGGTCTGATCCAGGCAGATAAAGGAGGTCTTATCCAGGCAGATAAAGGTCTCATTCAGGCAAATAAAAAAGCACTGATAAAGCAGATAAGGGAGGTCTGATTCAGGCAGATGAAGATGATTTGATCCTGGCAGACTAAGATGGTCTGATCCTGGCAGATTAAGAGGGTCTGATCCTGGCAGATAAAGGAGGTCTCACTTAGGCTGAAAAATGTCTGATGACAGATGAAGGTGAAGAACTATAAAATGCTAGTAATGGCAGACAAGAAAGGTAGCAACAGTTCCAGGATAATATTTTTGCATCTTGAACATGAAAAGTAGAGACCCTGACTATCTTGGGTTTCACCTACTTATCACAGAGCATTTACCAACTGGACTGATATATGACTGAAGATTATTAAATAATGTAAGATATTGTTTCTGTAATCGGACAGTACAGACAAACATGGCTGTCTGAAAAGTAACTGTAGAAGGTGATTCACCAGAAAAGAAACCATCCACCAATACAAATAAGGCCACTATCAGAAGATGTATCCTGGGAAGATTTACGACCTGAATTTTCATCTGACATAGAAAAAGATAAAAAGCCTGAACACATGACACATATATCCTGGTACCACTTTAGATTAAAGAAATGATATTAACAGGCATCTGTCATATGACTGGAGGACCTTTAGTACGTTTATGTGTGCCTGATTTAAAAAACTGGGAGAAACACGGCTATCAAAGTAACAATCTTAGTAAACAATATCCATTTTCTTATCCTTGGGAGACTACTTCAGAGGTATAGCAGTTCCTGTAATCATGTCCTGGGAAGCAATTTTTACAAGGAAACCTGTAATCTCAGCTTTTCTCCGGAGAACATCATAACACGATTGTCACACTAAATATGGCTAAACTTATCATTGATATTCCAGGCAGCTGAAGGCAATGCCTTGTCACAACACTGGCAAATGCTGCCATTCCAAATAAAATGAAGGTGTCTTCATAACAATTTCTTCAAGTGACATGGAAATAGGCCTACATTTGATTGTACAGACTCATTTTTGTCCCATGGTTTAAGGTGCAAAAGTGATTCCTTAAGCGATACAATTTTTGTTTTTTGTTTTTATCGTTTGATGATTAAGCGACTGTTTTTCTATAGATCAGTAATTAAATGCCTTTATTCTATTAGTTCAGAATCAGTAATGATGAAGCAGGGTACACATTTTTTTCAACAAAAACTTTCTTAACCTTTCTTTGAAATGTGCAATGTTTTTCTAGATCGTAAATCAGATAGAAAATGATAAAACAGATTTCATTGACATAAGAGATCAAACCAAACCATCCTCAAACTCCTCTGACAACTAACGTCTTGTCTCTCTTCATTAATTACAGAAAGGATCAAGCTTAAAACAACTAGATCTGTTAGCAAGTCTCGCCTGGGTTTATCAAGACTTGTGTCCAAATTTTAAATAGAACAGAAAGAGTTAGAGGAAAAGGGCAGTGATAGGCAGGAACTGATGCTGCAGTTACAGATTTAAAATTAGCAGGTTGTACAAAAGGCACTCCAAGTGATCAGATTGATACTTGTAAGGAAGTTGCAAAGATGTGTTTAACAGTAGGAAACCTTGTTGACATTTCACGTCACAATAGATCGAGAATTCAGCACTTAGGGTCGTTCATGTTGGAAAATTTGGCAGTAAGAAACTATGTTGTAATTTCCTGTTGGAGATGTCAGCATCATGAAGCCAATTAGGAGGAATGTGAGCTATTTGAATCATTTGAATTGTTTAACTCTTAAAAGTCATATAAAAAACAGTTACATCTCACTGCAGTTTATCTTACCATGAATGTCACACCATTGCAAAATGTCAGGAATGTATATACAGATTAACTATAAGTATTGTTATTACTACTATGAAGAAGTGTATTCTAAAAATATTATAAGGATGGAAATTAATAGAGTGTCCAAATTTAAATTCATTTTTAGAAAAAATATGGCATTAAAAAGAGATTAGGATTTTTTACAAACTGTTAAGAATCTTCATAAAACATTTCTACCTCTCAGGTCACAGGCATTTAACAGGTGTCTTCTCATCTCCATACACAGAATACCAGACAAGAGGAAAGAAGCAATGAGAGTATAAACGAAGAACAAAAGTGCAGGAGTCACATGAACCAAAGGTCAAATAGAGGTTAAATAAAGGTTAAACAAACTACTAGCTATAGTCTTATAGAAAAAACAAACAAACTTGCACAAAAAGGAAAAGTGGACAAAATAACAAGGTGATTTACCTTCCTGGCAACATTTGCCGAACTGTTCATGGCAGTAGCTGTTAGGCGGACAGTTGTTAAATTTAGATGAACAATTATATTCATATGGATAAGGAGCCATCAATGGTGGGCTGCCATCACATAGCTCTTCATTGATGTCTGAAAGTATAAAACATCTTAGGTGACTGTTCTGTCAATAGCCATTGAGAAGTTATGTTGTTCACCTATGTATTAAGTTCTATGAAAATCATTAAAGAAATTAGGTCATTAGACAGATATTTAAAAGTCTGGTCTTAACACCTTGCTTTGAACATTTTTAAAAACACAATCAACACAGTGACCTTGAAAATAGGCCAAGGTCATTCATTTGAAGAATCTTCTTTTATCTCAGCATGTAACTAACAATTCAAATCTAATTTTTCCTCCAATATGATGCTGCCCAAATTGGAATGCTTTCAGAAAAAAGTTTTTTAAAATTTCTACAGAGTGTTCCTTTATGTAGCCCCTGGCCTGTGACTACTTTGTCAGCATAGCATGGCTTATGCTAGTCACGTCAATAAAATTTAGTCCCTGTACCTCTAGGTTATTCAGAAGTGGTCTATAACAATATGGTTTAACACATTTGATTCCCGTGACATCAATAATCTACTAAGGTCAGATTCACTGTTTAAAATCACTCAGATTTCAAGAATACTTAATTTGCGAACTTACATCTTCAGACAAATTTGTGAATACATGCCTTTCATGAACATTGAACTAGAAATTACTAAAAATTTACGAAGGATGAACTAATAGATATACAGACTATGATATCAGTGACCAAATCAGCACTAATATAAGCAAGAATTATTTTTATACAAATAATCGCGAGGGATTTGAATTTGCCTTTGACTCTTCACTTGTATTAGCATGAATATAAATCCTATGCAAAATCTAAGTGATTTAAAGGTATTCTTTTGTTCAAACTTAATGACCAACCATCCAAGTTGTTACTTACGAAATGCCATGACTCAAATTTCTTGGTTGATAATTAAAAAAGAAATTGTCGATACCTGGCTGTACCAAGGCAAGAAATATCTTTTGTGAGCGCAAACAAAATTCAAGATTGATTTTAAGAATTGTGTCTTGGACCAACACATGGATAAACAGTTCTGGCATCAAACATGTGGTTATAATGAAGCTTTATACCACAAATCATTACTTACCAAAACAATTATCCATGGATACTTGGATTATCTCCCTTTGTTCGTTACAAGCTTCAAGCTGCATCTGACAATGATTTCCGTAAGTACGTCCATCTGAACCACAAACTGTCGATCTTACATAAGAATAAGAAATAATCTTTAAGCTTGATGGAGAAAAATAGAATTATGACATGAATTTCAGGATAACACTTAAAACTCAAATACACACCTTTTCATATAAACAAGAGGCCCATAGGGCCTGTATCGCTCACCTGGATCATAAAGCCCAGCAATGTTATTCATGCCTATACGTTGGATATTTCAAATATTTCTAAATTAAAGGTCAGTCACTTTACCTCTTGGATGGGGCAAGACAAATAGGTAAATTCTTATATCATTACTGTCTTTCTCTTTTGACGTGAAGTAAGAGTTTATATATGGTAACAGGTTGGTATCTACACTATTTCAAAAACATGACCCAGAAAGCAAGTCCCCAGAGGTGTGCCACACATAAAATGACCTTTTAGCCCACTCTTGATCGTCACTTTTGACATAAGTGTTTGCGACTATTTTCTGTTTGGATTCTCACTCCTAAGCCCAATAGTACATCAGAGCAAATCCTCTTGATATTGTCTCGTATTTACGGGGTCTGGATATCGATCATTTCTGACCTGGACACAGCTTAATCCCCAAGAGAGAGGCTAATTGTAGTGTTAATACATTGGCTTGCATTCGTATCACCAGAAAGATCAACATTGTTCTGGCATAATAAGACACAAAATTCCTCTCACACAAGGATTTTATTGAACTCACAAGGGACACACAAACCCTGACAATCCTGATAGAATGATGTCCAACGATTTACGGAGTATCTGATGGAAAGTCAGGATATCAGAAAAGGTCCCCAAGAGTGGGGTCACAGCCTCAGTGCTGGTCATCTTAAGTGGATCACATGAACGTACATATAACATATGAATTCTGTTTTTCAACCCTGTGACTTTCAATATGAATGTAATTATAATCCAAATCTAAATTCCATAAAACTAGAACAAAATATGAACAAAGGAAAGATTTACAGAGACTTCTGAAGAATGACAAAGAGAATAAGACCAGGTGTTGTGGAGAGTAAGTGTCTTCTGCTTTATTGACAATACCTTCCACGCTTAATCAAAATCAGTAATGTCACATTCTCAAATGAGAACAGAGGAACCAACAGGCAAACTTATGAGCATCAGACACACACAGCTTTATATCAATATAAGATATTCTACAACCTATACAGTATGCTGTTTCTGTAGCTTGTTCCCATACTTGCCTAAACTACAACAGTTTAACAGCACTTCAGAAAGAGATAATTCTGGAGGTCATCTTCTTAAACCTTTGACCTTTATCTCTATTACATGTTCAAAGGGAAATTTTCCTTTCCAAGAAGAATGTTGTGCAAACCAAACAACAAGCACAACCAAAGTACAACATACATTTCATAAACCTGCATATGAAATTTGAGAAAAGCCCAACCTCTAATTCTTAATTTTCAAGAATATAGAATGGACAAACAAACCACGGACTAAAGGCGATTTGTACAACCCACCTTCTGATGATGGAGGACTAAAAATTCAGGTGAAATGCTTAAAGTTTTTATATAATTGATATTTTTTGTGAATTTTAAAGGGTTCATCAAGGTATACTTATTTACAAATCCAATAACTTTAGTCTGGGGCATTCAGATTCTCTAAATTCTTTTCATCAGTTCCAACAAACATTTGATCCTGATGAGTTTAGATTTAGGAAGTGAGGAGCTGGAGAGTTCAGTATGGAAATAACTAAGTGACCAATGGGAAAAGAAAGGAATGGGAAAGGTCAGGGAGGAAAACAATGTCAGATAGAGACTAGGAGGTCAATATGGAGGAAGGAAGGAATAAAGAAGGTCAGAGAGGAAACAATGTCAGATAGAGACTAGGAGGTCAATCTGGAGGAATGAAGGAATAAAGGAGGTCAGGGAGGGAACAACTGGAGCTGGACAATGTCAGATAGAGACTAGGAGGTCAATTTGGAGGAATGAAAGATTAAAGAAGGTCAGGGAGGGAACAACTGGAGCTGGACAATGTCAGATAGAGACTAGGAGGTCAATCTGGAGGAATGAAGGAATAAAGGAGGGAAAGGGAGAGGGGCTTGAGAATGATAGATAGAGAATAGGAGGTCAATGTGGAGAATGAAGGAATAAAGAAGGAGAGGGGCTTGAGAATGATAGACAGAGAATAGGAGGTCAATGTGGAGAATGAAGGGATGAAGAAGGAGAGGGAGAGGGGCTTGAGAATGATAGACAGAGAATAGGAGGTCAATGTGGAGAATGAAGGGATGAAGAAGGAGAGGGAGAGGGGCTTGAGAATGATAGACAGAGAATAGGAGGTCAATGTGGAGAATGAAGGGATGAAGAAGGAGAGGAGAGGGGCTTGAGAATGATAGACAGAGAATAGGAGGTCAATGTGGAGAATGAAGGGATGAAGAAGGAGAGGGAGAGGGGCTTGAGAATGATAGACAGAGAATAGGAGGTCAATGTGGAGAATGAAGGGATGAAGAAGGAGAGGGAGAGGGGCTTGAGAATGATAGACAGAGAATAGGAGGTCAATGTGGAGAATGAAGGGATGAAGATGGAGAGGGAGAGGTGCTTGTTAATGATAGACAGAGAATAGGAGGTCAATGTGGAGAATGAAGGGATGAAGAAGGAGGGGGTCAAGTGAGTGATAGAGTCACAATATGAGGTCAATGTGGAGAATGAAGGGATGAAGGAGAGGGAGAGGGGCTTGAGAATGATAGACAGAGAATAGGAGGTCAATGTGGAGAATGAAGGGATGAAGAAGGAGAGGAGAGAGGGCTTGAGAATGATAGACAGAGAATAGAAGAATGAAGGGATAGAGAATAGGAGGTCAATGTGGAGAATGAAGGGATGAAGAAGGAGAGGGAGAGGGGCTTGAGAATGATAGACAGAGAATAGGAGGTCAATGTGGAGAATGAAGGGATGAAGAAGGAGAGGGAGAGAGAGGAGAGGGGCTTGAGAATGATAGACAGAGAATAGGAGGTCAATGTGGAGAATGAAGGGATGAAGAAGGAGAGGAGAGGGGCTTGAGAATGATAGACAGAGAATAGGAGGTCAATGTGGAGAATGAAGGGATGAAGAGAGGAGAGGGGCTTGAGAATGATAGACAGAGAATAGGAGGTCAATGTGGAGAATGAAGGGATGAAGAAGGAGAGGGAGAGGGGCTTGAGAATGATAGACAGAGAATAGGAGGTCAATGTGGAGAATGAAGGAATGAAGAAGGAGAGGGAGAGGGGCTTGAGAATGATAGACAGAGAATAGGAGGTCAATGTGGAGAATGAAGGGATGAAGAAGGAGAGGGGCTTGAGAATGATAGACAGAGAATAGGAGGTCAATGTGGAGAATGAAGGAATGAAGAAGGAGAGGGAGAGGGGCTTGAGAATGATAGACAGAGAATAGGAGGTCAATGTGGAGAATGAAGGGATGAAGGGAGAGGAGAGGAGAGGGGCTTGAGAATGATAGACAGAGGGGCTTGAATAGGAGGTCAATGTGGAGAATGAAGGGATGAAGAAGGAGAGGGAGAGGGGCTTGAGAATGATAGACAGAGAATAGGAGGACAATGTGGAGAATGTAGGGATGAAGATGGAGAGTGGCTTGAGAATGATAGACAGAGAATAGGAGGTCAATGTGGAGAATGAAGGGATGAAGAAGGAGAGGGGCTTGAGAATGATAGACAGAGAATAGGAGGTCAATGTGGAGAATGAAGGGATGAAGAAGGAGAGGGGCTTGAGAATGATAGACAGAGAATAGGAGGTCAATGTGGAGAATGAAGGGATGAAGAGAGGAGAGGGGATGAGAGGGAGGGGCTTGAGAATGATAGACAGAGAATAGGAGGTCAATGTGGAGAATGAAGGGATGAAGAAGGAGAGGGAGAGGGGCTTGAGAATGATAGACAGAGAATAGGAGGTCAATGTGGAGAATGAAGGGATAAAGAAGGAGAGGGGCTTGAGAATGGGAGAATAGGAGGTCTGTGAGAATGATAGACAGAGAGAGGGGCTAGGAGGTCAATGTGGAGAATGAAGGGATGAAGAAGGAGAGAGAGGGGCTTGAGAATGATAGACAGAGAATAGGAGGTCAATGTGGAGAATGAAGGGATGAAGAAGGAGAGGGGCTTGAGAATGATAGACAGAGAATAGGAGGTCAATGTGGAGAATGAATGTATGAAGATGGAGAGGGGCTTGAGAATGATAGACAGAGAATAGGAGGTCAATGTGGAGAATGAAGGGATGAAGAAGGAGAGGAGGGGCTTGAGAATGATAGACAGAGAATAGGAGGTCAATGTGGAGAATGAAGGGATAAGACAGAGAGAATGATAGACAGAGGGAGGTCAATGTGGAGAATGAAGGGATGAAGAGAGGGAGGGGCTGATAGACAGAGAATAGGAGGTCAATGTGGAGAATGAAGGGATGAAGAAGGAGAGGGAGAGGGGCTTGAGAATGATAGACAGAGAATGAGGAGGTCAATGTGGAGAATGAAGGGATGAAGGGATGAAGGAGAGGGAGAGGGGCTTGAGAATGATAGACAGAGAATAGGAGGTCAATGTGGAGAATGAAGGGATGAAGAGGAGAGGGGCTTGAGAATGATAGACAGAGAATAGGAGGTCAATGTGGAGAATGAAGGGATGAAGAAGGAGAGGGAGAGGGGCTTGAGAATGATAGACAGAGAATAGGAGGTCAATGTGGAGAATGAAGGGATGAAGAGGGAGAGGGGCTTGAGAATGATAGACAGAGAATAGGAGGTCAATGTGGAGAATGAAGGGATGAAGAAGGAGAGGGAGAGGGGCTTGAGAATGATAGACAGAGAATAGGAGGTCAATGTGGAGAATGAAGGGATGAAGAGGGAGAGGGGCTTGAGAATGATAGACAGAGAATAGGAGGTCAATGTGGAGAATGAAGGGATGAAGAAGGAGAGGGAGAGGGGCTTGAGAATGATAGACAGAGAATAGGAGGTCAATGTGGAGAATGAAGGGATGAAGAGGGAGAGGGGCTTGAGAATGATAGACAGAGAATAGGAGGTCAATGTGGAGAGAAGGGATGAAGAAGGAGAGGGAGAGGGGCTTGAGAATGATAGACAGAGAATAGGAGGTCAATGTGGAGAATGAAGGGATGAAGAGGGAGAGGGGCTTGAGAATGATAGACAGAGAATAGGAGGTCAATGTGGAGAATGAAGGGATGAAGAGGGAGAGGGGCTTGAGAATGATAGACAGAGAATAGGAGGTCAATGTGGAGAATGAAGGGTGGAGGAGAGGGAGAGGGCTTGAGAATGATAGACAGAGAATAGGAGGTCAATGTGGAGAATGAAGGGATGAAGAGGAGAGAGGGCTTGAGAATGATAGACAGAGAATAGGAGGTCAATGTGGAGAATGAAGGGATGAAGAGAGGGAGAGGGGCTTGAGAATGATAGACAGAGAATAGGAGGTCAATGTGGAGAATGAAGGGATAGAGGGAGAGGGGCTTGAGAATGATAGACAGAGAATAGGAGGTCAATGTGGAGAATGAAGGGATGAAGAAGGAGAGGGAGAGGGGCTTGAGAATGATAGACAGAGAATAGGAGGTCAATGTGGAGAATGAAGGGATGAAGAGGGAGAGGGGCTTGAGAATGATAGACAGAGAATAGGAGGTCAATGTGGAGAATGAAGGGATGAAGAAGGAGAGGGAGAGGGGCTTGAGAATGATAGACAGAGAATAGGAGGTCAATGTGGAGAATGAAGGGATGAAGAAGGAGAGGGAGAGGGGCTTGAGAATGATAGACAGAGAATAGGAGGTCAATGTGGAGAATGAAGGGATGAAGAAGGAGAGGGAGAGGGGCTTGAGAATGATAGACAGAGAATAGGAGGTCAATGTGGAGAATGAAGGGATGAAGAGGGAGAGGGAGAGGGGCTTGAGAATGATAGACAGAGAATAGGAGGTCAATGTGGAGAATGAAGGAATAAAGAAGGAGAGGGAGAGAGGCTTGAGAATGATAGACAGAGAATAGGAGGTCAATGTGGAGAATGAAGGGATGAAGAGGGAGAGGGAGAGGGGCTTGAGAATGATAGACAGAGAATAGGAGGTCAATGTGGAGAATGAAGGGATGAAGAAGGAGAGGGAGAGGGGCTTGAGAATGATAGACAGAGAATAGGAGGTCAATGTGGAGAATGAAGGGATGAAGAAGGAGAGGGAGAGGGGCTTGAGAATGATAGACAGAGAATAGGAGGTCAATGTGGAGAATGAAGGGATGAAGAGGGAGAGGGGCTTGAGAATGATAGACAGAGAATAGGAGGTCAATGTGGAGAATGAAGGGATGAAGAGGGAGAGGGAGAGGGGCTTGAGAATGATAGACAGAGAATAGGAGGTCAATGTGATCCAGAGTAAGAGTAAGAGGTAGAGAAACAACATTACCTGATAGCTTGGCAGTTGAAGTTACAGGAACAACCATATGTCCCTTGTTCGTTCAGTTGGCACTCCCCTCCATATTTACAGAGAATCTCGTCACAGATTGGCATGTTGTCAGTCATATCACCGGACCCTCCTGTACCAATAATCAGACAGCATGCAAAGCCCTATCGAACACCACAGCATGATGGGTGGATCTTGTGGTAGGAGTATCCATGGAGAGTCCCAAACTCCCGCCACAATCATCCCCATAAAAAAAAAATACTAAATAAAATCACACTTAAGCTACCTGCATTTTAACTAAAATCAGTTTAAAAAGCAATTCCAACAAATTACAGTTGCTCAAATTTTGGCTGATCTCTTAAATCCCACACCAATAAAATTTTTCACCGAACAATAATGTTCACAACACGAAAAAGCGTTAAGCTGTTAATGAAATTATTTCTGAAATGATTCCGAGAATTCCAAATACTATTTTTAGCGTTACACCAAAACATCTTATTGTATGCATAGAACCTAAGAGATTAACCGTTCTCAACAAAAAACAGTGGAGCTGATATCTTGCCACAGGTTACACTTAAACCAGATTTAATTGCATATGCAAAACAAGGAAGTAAATATTGTGCTGAAAATGATTTCCAGGGAAACATAGCTGTCAAAATATTTAACCTGTGACAAGACATCTTTTTATAAAACAAACACATTAATCCTATGTCATAAATGTCATGCTGCACACAGCTGCTGGTCATGCACTTGATCAACGTGATACCTAGGGGATGGAGGTCACTGTAGGCACAAAACAACCAGATCACAAAACATTGGCACATTTACATAATAACACAACTAAACGTTTTCTGTGTACAAAACTTTGTTACAACCTATAAATCCTGGTCGCAGTCTCTTTTTACACAGAATATCATTTTAGTCTGTACAGTAGATATTATTACATTTCAAGTGTTGTATCTGATGCTAATTTTAAGTCTACAACTAATCATATGTTCTCTTTTTCATCAAATTGCACTCTCAACCGAGATAAAACATAATACTGCACGCTCATGTAGGTGTACTGTGACATCGCATAATTTCAGCCAATCAGATTTGTCTGACACATATCGAGCAAGTTGTGTGCGAAGTGTAATATGCTATTTTATTATGACGCGATGTTGAATATTATGGAATAAGAAGTGGTTTAAATGACATAGGAACATCCCTTGATCATTCTGTGTTTCTGGTTTTGATACCGAAATGTAAAAAAAACCCACAATTAATGACAATTTTTCTGGTTGATATGATGATATATGGGGCAGATAACTAACATTGCCCTCCTGCCTCAGTCAATATAGGCCATTAATTGTAAACATAGAGTCATTATTGTAAAATAAATGGTTTATGTAAAGATATAGATGGTTTGTGTAATACAGTATACAGGATAAATGATTGATGTAGACTATATATATCTATATTTTTGTGTGTCTAGTACTTTTGTGTTCCTATATTTAATGGTAAATTATATAGATTTAAATTGCTGTGTGTCTAATTTTCAATTTTTTTCATGGTATCATACTATTATTTTTAAAAACACTTACATTTGAACAAACAATGATACAACTAAAAACAATAGGCTTGTTAATTACTAATCAATATCATTCATATTGCATGCATTTGGTGGCTGCATTGATGCTTTAGGCATAAAAATTATATAATTACAGGATTGCAACATTGGACTATTTAACAAAAATATTTACCACTATCATAGAGATACTTTTATAGAGGTATAGAATAAATATATTTTAAGATGATACGGAGTTATATTCCTTAAACAAACCTCCCGAGTAGCCGTTATCCACCTCATTTTCACAGGGGCGCGTATCCACCACCTGCAAATCCACATTACGCACACATGCTTCACGTTTCATTTTGCATTCATTCTCGTAAGTTTTTCTGTCACTGGCACACACAGGTTCAAGAGTACGGGGACAAGTTAATGGGCAAACGCAGGTTCCATTTTCACAACGTGCTCCAAAGTTACAAATTGTTCCTTTACATAGTTCTGAAAAAGTACAAAGAAATATGAGAGACAAAATATACATGTCTACTTTTTGCTAAATAAAAGAAGAAAAAATCCTGTACCTAGAATTTCAAAATTATGTCATCAGCCTTAATCACATGTACTTGTATTCAATATTAAAATATTATATGACCATTTTCATATCACACCTCATATCAGCCCGAGAGTCCTGATATCAGCCAGAAAGCCAAGGGCCTGAGGGCTGATATCTGGACTTAAGGGCCGGTTAGGGGTGTTATATCAAAATTGTCATTAAAAAGCCTTTTTATCACGTTTTTTTTCTTTGAAATAACTTAACCACATATACACAATAACATTCAACAATGATACATTATTTACTGATACCCTTAGATATGCATGCCTAGCTGTTTACGTTTGCAGACGACAGCAGCTGGTGTATCACTTATATGGAAAACCAATCTAAAAATGGCACCATCCGGAAATTTCAGTGGGATTCTAAATTATTTTTCCTAAAATTTTTTAATAAATTTAAAAATTCTTCCACGCCAACAATATCTATGTTCAAACTAGACAGCGATAAGCAAAAGCTATAAAGTGTAACAAGAGACCTAGCAGCTTTGATGATCACCTGAGATAAGCAATATAGATTATAAAGGTTAAAGGGTAAGTAGCTTTCAAGTGCAAATAAAAAGAAATTCTGCCATTGATGATATTAAGACAGTGTCAATACCTGCAATCCATTAAAACTGTCATTCTAAACCAATAATTCTTACAAAGCTATTTCCACTGGAAAATAAACGTTATGCTCAAAAATGCAATTTTTATATAAAAATTCAGTAATTGGGAAGAAGATTTTTGAAATCCGAGTCAATTTGACACATTTTGACCCAACCCATCAGCCCCATGGAGACCAGAGAGGATCAATGTGGGCATACAATCAAGCAATCATCTTCACCTATAATTCTAACCAAGTATGAAATGTTTCCAATAGAAATTTTAATAGTAGTAGTAATTTTTACGTGGAAATATGAGACCCTGGAGGAACGAAACTCACAATTTTTGGTAAAACACCATAGGATGCTCCCATTCATGAAGTGTACTTGATTCTACCATATCTGGGTATTGAGAAGATTTTTAAAATCTGAGTCAATTTGACCACTTAGGCCCCTGTGGGGTGGGAACCGTGTTATTTACTTCTTTGGTTCATCCTAGACCAAGAAAAGTTTCTGCAAAATGTCATTGAAATCAGATCAAGGGTTTTTGAGCAATTATATTTGATTACTTTTATTGAAAGTTTAGCATCAGACATGTGTAAGGGTTCTCTCCCCTTACAGAATCTGTAAAGAATGAATTCATACATCCAGATCAATGTTAATCTTGCCAAATTCATGAGAAAATGAAACAGGCTGAATTAGGTATTTCATTGAATAGAAATTGAAATATTTTGTCAATGAACCGTGACTGTATGACAACGTTGATCGCTGACCACAAATTTTTCCTTTGCAATTACTATATCTTAATTACCCAGAGGATGATAGTCAACCTTGTAAATCACTCCAGTTTATACCAACCTGAAAATGATGTCAGGACCCAAAAGGTCCATTAAAATCTCAAAAGTTTTATGGACTGACTGTGAATGAAGTACACAAGAGGCCCACCAGGGCTTTTATAGTCTAATTATCAAAGGTATATTATTCTGATAGTGAAGATTCAAACGATGGTAATTTCAGCAGTAAAGGTGAACTATTAAAAGTTAATATGTAAGTTAAATTAAACTATCCAAAACTGTATTCCACTAGACATAAGTCAGACGTGTTGTCCAGAAGCCAGAACATACTTTCTGTTAATAATCTATCACACATGTCCAGTATACATTCGCTCCCGGGTTAATTACATAAGCTTACCAATACCGTCTAGCAGGACAGGTCAGCAAAACCTTAGCTTGTCGTAAACCACCTAATCTACCACTATGTGTGTGCATTAGACCATGTAAATAACTCATGTGTTATCCACTTCTTGTTAGCAAATATGTAATATTAGATTATCAATGTCTACGACTTTTAGTATAAATACGACTAGGTTTCTAGCCAGTCGTCGATTTGGTTCCTGAAGGCATGCGAGTGTACCACCTCTCCATGTCTACACACAATAAATTTACATCAACCTAAACAGCGTTTGGATTTCTTCATCTCCACTCAACACTGCAACACTCTTCATTCTCAACAAAGAAGTTCACCCACTACACTTTATCGGACACCACTTCACTTTATTGGTCCCGTGACTTCACTTTATTGGCGCCGTGACCTCGGACACCGCTTCACTACGATCACCGGTCATTCGTAAGGTAAGTGAATTGATTTTTATCTTTTTATCCGTAGAAACATTTGAACCTTGGTCATTTTTTACTTACTAATTAATCTATACATATATACATACATGTTTCTTTTATTATAATAAGTCTTTTTCTAAATCTATAATGGAAGAAAATGAATATGCCATCCAGTTACTTAAAGCTGTAGATTGTGCCATGATAGAAAATACACGATTCCCATCACAAATACACACAGCTCCTTACAACACACACACCGACACATGTAGAGATGAAGAACCAATAGAAATAGACGCTACACGGGTAAGATCCATAAACACTTATACGCATGACAACAGAAATTCACACTCCACAGGAACTCGACCACAGAAACATACCACAAGTCACAAATCACAATATCACACTTACCCAGATCAACAGTCTACATACCGATACCATCATAATCCCTCTGGTCACCAGACTTCTTACGCAACAAATTCACACAAGTCTACACAACACTATCGCCACAGGGGTACAAACAACCATCACAGACACCCAAAGCCACAATCATATCATTACAACACAACAAGTATTAAATATTTCATTTAGTTCATTATGGAAGCCATTCCAAGATAAATTTCCAAACTATTCTAATGTTACTCTTCCACATAAGTTACAAACAATGGAAAAAATACCAATGAAATCTTTAATTCAGCAACTATCAGAAATTGAACCAATTGAAAGTAATCTTTGGGATTATAAACAGTATTTTATTCCTATTTTCACGTGTTTAGGCTTAGTTTTAGTATTTTTTAGTATATTTTGTGTATGGTTCAAATGTTTCTTGCGGAAAAAGACAAAAAGTCAATTTACAAAATCGAACGCCATTGACCAAAATGATCAAGACGGACACAAACCAAAATATTCCAGTCCAGCGGATGTATCAGAAATACAACTAACACAGCCGTTGATGCCACCCATGTATCCAGCAAAGCTCTATCCACGCCTACAAAACATACTTCCACCACCAAGAATTGAAGAAGAGCCAGTGTAGAAATATTCATCAAACATGTTGACATTTACATTTATTTTCGTTAAATTTCGTCGTTTTGTCCTCTCGTCAAAAGAGACACTATTTTCAACATCATCCTTATTTTACAAGTTTTTCTACTATGGAGAGTTTACCTTACGTGATATTCAACATGGAGTGACCATTGTTTTCTTAAACTCTACCATAATGTGTTTGAAACAGAGTTAGTGATGTGGTTTAACACACACAAAAATGTAATTCTCTGTATCTCATACGACACATCTAGTAGAACTCAACAATATTTCGACAGACAGGAATCATCCGATGCAGTTTAATGCCGGAAAGACAGAAGAAGTCTTCGTTTCCTGATCAGAATCGTATTTATTATTTTACCTCTAACGACGAACTTTGTATTGTTTTATCATTAACTCTTCATCGTTTGTCTCAACCTTTTTGTGCGAGATATCACGTCTAGACGGTAGTACGTCAACCAAGAACTTTTCGTCATTTTCATATTTACAAGACTCATCATGTGATGAACATTACTTTTATTTGGCCTCTTCGTCAAGACTTGTGATTTGGAACCTTCGCCGTGTGGAACTATCAACTTGTGGAGTGATTGAACTGTCTTATTAATATTTCGAACTGTACTATTCATATAATAACTGTAATATCAATTTATTATTGCCTTTCGTTCTCAGTTCTTTATAAGTACACAATACTTTTATGTTTATTCTATTGCAAATATTGTAAAATTGCATGTATTACATGTAAGTTTTTATATCTAAATATTATATTGACCTCGTACATTACCTATGTATGTTACATCTTAAGTAGTATTTTATATATTTATGTCTATTAATTATAAGGAACCATCCCTTAATCGGGTAATAACAATAATTAATCGTTATGATTTACAAAAGTTTTCAATTACTAGTTTTATCAGATCTCAATGATCTATTTTTTTTAATTTTTTTGAAATGTTATCTTGAAATGTTACAAATTGTGCTGTTTTACATATCATTATCCTTAGAGAGTTCCAAATCAATTATGTTTTCAATATATTCACACAACTTTTATTCACATACTATTTGGAGAGTTTCGCCTACGTGATATTACACGAGGATTTAAATGTTTAAACTCTACCATTTTATGTCAGAGTCAAAGTCAGTGACGTGGTTGTACACGCACAATATTCATATGAAAGACTTTGTTACTCATAAGACATATTTACACAAATACATATTTCTATGCGGATGACACATTCCCGATACATTTAATATCAATAACTTAATGATAAGGAACTTTCTGATTTTATTTCATTTTCTCATCAATTGTACTAGTCATAGCCTTATTGTGAGCGTGACGTCATGACTTAGCATAACAGACGGTGGTACGTCGTAACTAAGTATATTTACATATTTTTTCATTCATTAATTGTAACACAGCACAATGAAAACATTTGTCGATAATTGAAATTTATCAAAGTCGAGCGAAAGCCTTACTATCCACTTGATTTTTTTTTCTTCTCTTCGTTTTTTATCAAAATGTACATCGTTAACAAACAAGTTTCATGGTTATTCATGGTTTTATTACAAAGGGACGTAACGAACTATTAATATTTTCATAGATGATGTCAAAATTATAACTAATTTGAAATCAATTTTATACAAAGGGACGAATGAACTATTAAAAGTTAATATGTAAGTTAAATTAAACTATCCAAAACTGTATTCTACTAGACATAAGTCAGACGTGTTGTCCAGAAGCCAGAACATACTTTCTGTTAATAATCTATCACACATGTCCAGTATACATTCGCTCCCGGGTTAATTACATAAGCTTACCAATACCGTCTAGCAGGACAGGTCAGCAAAACCTTAGCTTGTCGTAAACCACCTAATCTACCACTATGTGTGTGCATTAGACCATGTAAATAACTCATGTGTTATCCACTTCTTGTTAGCAAATATGTAATATTAGATTATCAATGTCTACGACTTTTAGTATAAATACGACTAGGTTTCTAGCCAGTCGTCGATTCGGTTCCTGAAGGCATGCGAGTGTACCACCTCTCCATGTCTACACACAATAAATTTACATCAACCTAAACAGCGTTTGGATTTCTTCATCTCCACTCAACACTGCAACACTCTTCATTCTCAACAAAGAAGTTCACCCACTACACTTTATCGGACACCACATCACTTTATTTTTCTTGCAGTCAAGATTTCAAAGCATATTGTCTCCCTTTATAAGTGCTCTTTTTTTAACAAATCTTAAGTAACCTCATTTATTTGAACTCACTCAAGAAGACCAGAATGACTTTGTTCATCTACCATTGCTCTACAAAGAAAAGGAAAGAGTTAACGATTCTGGTTTGAGTTACTCCCCTTCGTTAGTAATTCATTTGCAGTAACATGGCTTGGCTATGACTTTAGTTTAGATATGACCTGTTAATTTTAATCTTGAATTAGACAAAATATTATTTTTGTATGAAAGATGTCAATGCTGTCTAATGAAAATATCTCATTTCTTTCTCAAGGTGAACTGATTCCACCAAACACGGATCTAGTATTTGACGTCGAATTGATCCAGGTGCATGATGGTCCTAAACCACCAAATGTCTTTAAGATGATCGATATTGACAGTGATAATCTGCTGACTAGGGATGAGGTAAGCTTTACCATTAGTGATAATCTGCTGACTAGGGATGAGGTAATCTTTACCATTGTTGATAATCTGCTGACTAGGGATGAGGTAATCTTTACCATTGTTGATAATCTGCTGACTAGGGATGAGGTAAGCTTTACCATTAGTGATAATCTGCTGACTAGGGATGAGGTAAGCTTTACCATTGTTGATAATCTGCTGACTAGGGATGAGGTAAGCTTTACCATTAGTGATAATCTGCTGACTAGGGATGAGGTAAGCTTTACCATTAGTGATAATCTGCTGACTAGGGATGAGGTAAGCTTTACCATTGTTGATAATCTGCTGACTAGGGATGAGGTAAGCTTTACCATTAGTGATAATTTTCCCTTGACCTTTGGATTTTATATACTGTATTACTTGCTAAAAAGACCCATGCCATGCAATTAGCCCGTCCCCAGTTCTAAACCTGTGTTTTGTCCCCGGGCTTATTACAGGATAAAGAAGCGAGGTAGGTATGCTACCAGTCTGTTCATTGTATTCATTTATCACAATCAGACAGTCAATGGCTGGTAGTGAGTTTTACATATTGCTGCCAAGTACAAACACCAACATGTTCTACTGCATGGTCCTCTAATTAGAAGTAATATGTTGGTACCCTGGCCTTATTGTCATGTACTAAACCCTCCCCTAACTCTAATTAGAAGTAATATGTTGGTACCCTGGGCTTATTGTCATGTACTAAACCCTCCCCTAACTCTAATTAGAAGTAATATGTTGGTACCCTGGGCTTATTGTCATGTACCCTCCCCTAACTCTAATTAGAAGTAATATGTTGGTACCCTGGGCTTATTGTCCCTCCCCTAACTCTAATTAGAAGTAATATGTTGGTACCCTGGGCTTATTGTCATGTAATAAACCCTCCCCTAACTCTAATTAGAAGTAATATGTTGGTACCCTGGGCTTATTGTCATGTAATAAACCCTCCCCTAACTCTAATTAGAAGTAATATGTTGGTACCCTGGGCTTATTGTCATGTAATAAACCCTCCCCTAACTCTAGTCAGAGGTAATATGTTGGTACCCTGGGCTTATTGTCATGTAATAAACCCTCCCCTAACTCTAATTAGAAGTAATATGTTGGTACCCTGGGCTTATTGTCATGTAATAAACCCTCCCCTAACTCTAGTCAGAGGTAATATGTTAGTACCCTGGGCTTATTGTCATGTACTAAACCCTCCCCTAACTCTAATTAGAAGTAATATGTTGGTACCCTGGGCTTATTGTCATGTACTAAACCCTCCCCTAACTCTAATTAGAAGTAATATGTTGGTACCCTGGGCTTATTGTCATGTAATAAACCCTCCCCTTACTCTAATTAGAAGTAATATGTTGGTACCCTGGCCTTATTGTCATGTAATTAACCCTCCCCTAACTCTAGTCAGAGGTAATATGTTGGTACCCTGGGCTTATTGTCATGTTTAAACCCTCCCCTTACTCTAGTCATTGGTAATTTGTTGGTACCCTGGGCTTATTGAGGGAACAAGTTTTATTATTTCATAATAATGTTTTTCAACAAATGGACAAATATAATCAAAATATTTTTCTCCTTACAGCTGGCGATGTACCTGGCCCGACAGTCTCAAATGCAGGGCGTTCCTATGGACCTGGCTAATGTCCAGAACCTCAAAGTCCTGAATAACATATTCTCAGTGGAAGACAAGGATAGAGACGGACGAATTTCACATGACGAGTTTACTGGACCCAAGCACGATGAACTCTGACCTTCACAGCAGTTTTTTTTTACCAAAGACATTAAATTTTCTTGTGTTATAATGACTTAATGTAAATTTGTCTGAAAGTTTGAATGGCAATTTACGAGAAGGTGAATGCAATTTGTAAAGACTGTCTGAGGAATGTGTATGAGAGATATAGTGTCTTCACGACTGCAAAATGTGAGAAATATTTTTCACAGCTGTTTGCTTTCCTAGTTACTTGATATGAGTATTTATGAGGAGAAAGTAATATCTAATCATGTGAGCTGCTTGTTGATTCCTAAATGTTAGCTACAACTTGGCTTCAGTTTGGTACTAGCCACCTTCCACACAGACTGATCAGGCACAGTCTTTGATTAGACTAGGGTATAGAGGACATTTGTATAATCTGTGTAGATTTTTCTCACTACTTGGGTTTTCTATCAAAATAAAAGCTTGCATGCTTTTTATCACCCGATTAAAAGTGTCGGTTAAATCAACAAATAAAAATCATCTCTTCCATTGTTAATAAAGTAAAATCTTCACTGTAGTGTACAAACAAAGGGAGATAACTCTCTACATCTATGCCTACAAGAGAATCCTATTTCTCAGAGGAAGAAATCTTTGGCTTAATCATAGCTAAGTGCTCGTGTTCTTTACAAATCAAACCATTGTCTATAACATGGCTTCTTTGTAGTAGGTCATTTGGGGGGAAATATCACAACAAATTCTCAAAATCAGAAAACAAATGAAAAAAACACTAAAATTATTCTTATTTAATTATACTGCAAAATCCTTAATTTTCGTAGAGTTATTTTCTATAAATTTGTGGCTACTCTTAACCTATGAATTTAATTGTTCCCAAAATGATAAACAGATAAAGGTGATATGGATAACAGAACCAGTGGATTTTGTAAGAAAAATCTAAATCAAAAACCATGAAATTTGAGTCCAATAAAAATGTATGAAATTACTGTTCAGTGCTTGCTCATATTATTCTGCAAGAAGTACACAATCATCTTAATGCAAGGTTGACTGTCAACAATCTTAACACCGCACAGAACTATCATGATTCTTTTTTTACAATTTGTTAAACTACCATTATTTTGGGAAATTTAATATTTAGATTTGGAAAGTCGAGTCCATATTTGGACCAAACTCTTGCAGTCCCGGCATTAATATATATAATCCAAGCTACACCTTGTATGCTCGTATCACGATAGGCTCAAATATACTAAATAAAACAACAAAATCAGACAAAGTTACGAATATTCATCTATTTATTGCATAATAAATGACAATGTAAACAGAGAAGATGAGAATGATATGACTTATGAGAATGAGATGAGAATGCGATGAGATGATAAATGAAGAGACTGAGTGTAAATGAGTGGCAGGCTATGAAAGATTCATGCCTGACACGTATAACCATTAAAACTATGAAATAACATATTCTTGATTGTTTTTTGTCTCTCTGACAATTGGTACACATGCACTAATGAAACCTCCAAAAAGAGCGCCCTTTCAATGTTCACTCAATGCCATGTTTCTGTCAGCTCATGAGCAGCATATGATTATTACCTGTCCCTGACAAATCACACCTAAAGATCAATACACAGAAGAAAGTATCCATAAAACAAAGGTTTATCAAGGCATTACAACATTAATCTAAATGACATGAGGATTGTTTACATTTATTCTCATTAAATCTCCCTTAGTTGGTTGTTGTACTTGTGATGGCTGAGATTTCAATCATGGTTAAAAGTCAACAGAAAATTAAGCACTGGAAGAAGAACACACCAATTTGACACTAATAATTCTTAATTACTTCAGATATTTCATCTGCAAAGAGAACCCTCCACATTCAACTTTATATTCTTAACATGATTAACCAGATCAAAGAGCCTTGTCATAACTTTGCCAATAAACATCTGTGGCCCCAAGTAAAACACACTAAAATAAGTGATAAGTCAATTTTACCTGGGAAGGAGGGTATAAAACATTAGACATCTCTTCCACAATTTACAAGAAGTGAACGAAATACTAAGACAAAAACAGCTGCAATATCTACAATGATCTGCTGTGGAACAGAATATGAATAAAGTATTTTTAAAATATAGAATGTCACGTCTGTACGTTAAAGGATGTCACGTCTGTACGTTAAAGGATGTGACATCTGTATGTTTAAGAATGTGACATCTCTACATTAAAGGATGCAACATCTCTACGTTTAAGGATGTGACGTCTGTACGTCTAAGGATGTGACGTCTGTACGTTTAAGGATGTGACATCTGTACGTTTAAGGATGTGACGTCTGTACATTTAAGGATGTGACATCTGTACGTTAAAGGATGTGACGTCTGTATGTTAAAGGATGAAAGAATGTGACGTTTGTATTATAAAGGATGTGACGTCTGTACGTTTAAGGATGTGACGTCTGTATGTTTAAGGATGTGACATCTGTATGATAAAGGATGTGACATCTGTACGTTTAAGGATGTGACGTTTAAAGGATGTGACGTCTGTATGTTTAAGGATGTGACGTCTGTACATTTAATGATGCGACGTCTGTACGTTTAAGGAGGTGACATCTGTACATTTAAGATGTGACATCTGTATGTTTAAGGAGGTGACATCTGTCGTTTAAGATGTGACGTCTGTACATTTAAGATGTGACATCTGTACGTTTAAGGATGTGACATCTGTATGTTAAAGGATGTGACATCTGTATGTTAAAGGATGTGACGTCTGTACGTTTAAGGATGTGACATCTGTATGATAAAGGATGAAAGAATGTGATGTTTGTACTATAAGGATGTGATGTCTGTACATTTAAGGATGTTACATCTGTACGTTTAAGGATGTGACATCTGTATGTTTAAGGATGTGACATCTGTACGTTTGTATTATAAAGGAAGATGTGACGTCTGTATGTGATGTGACATCTGAAAGAATGTGACGTTTGTATTATAAAGGATGTGATGTCAGTATGTTTAAGGATGCGACATCTGTACGTTTAAGGATGTGACATCTGTACGTTTAAGGATGTGACGTCTGTGCGTTTAAGGATGTGACGTCTGTATGATAAAGAATGTGACATCTGTACATTTAAGGATGTGACATCTGTACGTTAAAGGATGTGACGTCTGTATGTTAAAGGATGAAAGAATGTGACGTTTGTATTATAAAGGATGTGACGTCTGTACGTTTAAGGATGTGACGTCTGTATGTTTAAGGATGTGACATCTGTACGTTTAAGGATGTGACGTTTAAAGGATGTGACGTCTGTATGTTTAAGGATGTGACGTCTGTACATTTAATGATGCGACGTCTGTACGTTTAAGGAGGTGACATCTGTACGTTTAAGATGTGACATCTGTATGTTTAAGGAGGTGACATCTGTCGTTTAAGATGTGACGTCTGTACATTTAAGATGTGACATCTGTACGTTTAAGGATGTGACATCTGTACGTTTAAGGATGTGACGTCTGTATGTTTAAGGATGTGACGTCTGTATGTTTAAGGATGTGACGTCTGTACGTTTAAGGAGGTGACATCTGTATGATAAAGGATGAAAGAATGTGATGTTTGTACTATAAAGGATGTGATGTCTGTACATTTAAGGATGTTACATCTGTACGTTTAAGATGTGACATCTGTATGTTTAAGGATGTGACATCTGTACGTTTAAGATGTGACGTCTGTATGTTAAAGGATGAAAGAATGTGACGTTTGTATTATAAAGGATGTGATGTCTGTACATTTAAGGATGTGACATCTGTACGTTTAAGATGTGACATCTGTATGTTTAAGGATGTGACGTCTGTACGTTTAAGATGTGACGTCTGTATGATATAGGATGTGACGTCTGTATGTTAAAGGATGAAAGAATGTGACGTCTGTACGTTTAATGATGTGACGTCTGTACGTTTAAGGATGTGACATCTGTACGTTAAAGAATGTGACATCTGTACGTTTAAGGATGTGACGTCTGTATGATATAGAATGTGACGTCTGTATGTTAAAGGATGAAAGAATGTGACGTCTGTATGTTAAAGGATGTGATGCCTGTATGTTTAAGGATGCGACATCTGTACGTTTAAGGATGTGACATCTGTACGTTTAAGGATGTGACGTCTGTGCGTTTAAGGATGTGACGTCTGTATGATAAAGAATGTGACATCTGTACGTTTAAGATGTGACGTCTGTATGTTTAAGATGTGACGTCTGTACGTTTAAGATGTGACATCTGTACGTTTAAGGATGTGACGTCTGTACAATTATGGATGTGACATCTGTACATTTAAAGATTGTATGTTTAAGGATGCGACATCTGTACGTTTAAGGATGTGACGTCTGTATGTTAAAGGATGTGACATCTGTATGATATAGGATGTGACATATGTACGTTTAAGGATGTGACGTCTGTACGTTTAAGGATGTGATGTCTGTATGTTAAAGGATGTGACATCTGTACGTTTAAGGATGTGACGTCTGTATGTTAAAGGATGAAAGAATGTGACGTCTGTATGATAAAGGATGTGATGTCTGTATGTTAAAGGATGAAAGAATGTGACGTCTGTACGATAAAGGATGTGACATCTGTACGTTTAAGGATGTGACATCTGTACGTTTAAGGATGTGACGTCTGTACGTTTAAGGATGTGACATCTGTATGATAAAGGAACTAATCATTATGAGATAAAACACAACAATAAATAGACACATCAAACCCACCTAACATTATGGACAATTATTGCAACTTGTACACAAATATATATATATACACCAATCTAAATTGGTTTTTTTTATTTCATGCAAGATTTTGGGAAACCATTTTTCAAAATTTCTATTTTTTGAGTCTACTCAGAAAAAAATCAAACTTTGAAATGAGTTTCTTAAAATCTAACATAAAACAAAAACAAATTTAAAATACTTTTTATCACATAACTCAGTAAAATTACATCTTGCCTTGTTTTAAAGTCAGGATGTAGACGGCAAAAACAAACAGAGGCAGCCATTTTTTTTGTGCACGATTTTCAATTCATGACATAATATTGCCCATTATGGCAACATAATTATCTCTGACTGGTGCAGCCAATGAAAAACACTCTAGGGTATTTTACGCTAGTGACATGCAAAAATATTACAAATTCACTAGACATCAGATAGATGATGTGATCATCCTTTCACATACGTTTTTTTGAAAATCACTGACATAACATGTAGATAAATCTTTGATCTGTACAATAGTAAACACAGATGTCTCACATATGTATATATATTATGTACATGTTTATATATATACATTAAAACTTGCATAGAGTATAAGGCATCCGTTGTAATGTTGGCAGGACCTCCCCACCCTACCGCCTCCCTTTCCAACCCCAATCAGTATCTTTTACTATCTAAATGTTGAGTTTTTAAGCAGATTTTCTAAATTAATCCAATGTCTCATTAATTCTGTTAAATTATTTTTTTTCTTTTCTATTTAGCTTTTTGTGTTTTTAACTTTTTCTTTTTTTGTGAAATGTGACAGAATTTGAAATGTCCTTTCCAACATTAATATACAAATTTTTCCAAATATAGAAGTTTTCTGTCTATTTTTTTTTTGGATAAATCCAGTGTTTTATTGACTTCATCTTTTCAGTGTGACATCTTCCATAATAATTTACTACAAATGGTAATTTTGATTCCCTTTCAAGTACATGGAAACTTCAAATATCTACCATGTCAAATAGCAAAACTATTCACTCTGGCCGATGTCATGTGTGTGAGTTTCGAGACTTTTCAAAGTCATTTACGGTCTTTGAATTTAAATAAATATGCCTGATGGATTTAAAATTCGAAGGGAAATTTAAAACACAGAAGATTGAAACTGCATAACATACTGTCTATATGAGGAACATGGTTTGTTTTTCTTACTGTACAGTCTCTTGATCAAATACATTAAAAAAAAATGTATTTTTGGATGGAAATCAGAACTCCACAACCAACATTTACAAAATAGCAAAGAGAAATACTTTGTATACAATTAATCATTGAAAATTAAGAGTTCAACAACATTAACAACATTCTTCCAAGCTGCCAACAATTTGTACAAAATTTTCAATTATTATACATTTACTTATAGAAGTCTTTCTATAGATGTCTATAAATAGATATTTCTGTCTACAGATAAGATATTAACAGATAGATTTCTAATAATAGACATCTATTTATAGAATTCTAATTATGGGATGGGATTAATGTAATGGGAGAGATTGAACCATGAATTCTACAAAGTCGAGGGCTTTTCTCATTCAATCAATCCAAACCAAAAGAGGATGTTTGTTCTCACTTGAACCTAGATGAATCACTTCTTCAATCACCACCAAGCCAAGCAAGATTATTCCTACAGCCCACCTGGCAATCCTCCCCACCAAACATGCAAAATCATTTACTCTCACCAACAATGGAGAAAATACAGCTCCAATGACCATACTCTCCTCATCTCTAGAGAAATTTGTACCCTCATAAAACCCTAGAGGAATATATTCTCTATGCCAGGCCAGCAGAATTATCATCAAACCCTGTAGGGATACACAGCCACAACTACAACTCTCCTCTGCAAAACCTTGGGGAACATTCACCGTCACTAAACCCTGGAGGAACATTCACCGTCACTAAACCCTGGAGGAACATTCACTCACAAACACTGGAGGAACATTCACTCACAAACCCTGGGGGAACATTCACTCACAAACCCTGGGGGAACATTCACCATCACTAAACCCTGGAGGAACATTCACCATCACTAAACCCTGGGGGAACATTCACTCACAAACCCTGGGGGAACATTCACCGTCACTAAACCCTGGAGGAACATTCACCGTCACAAAACCCTGGAGGAACATTCACTCACAAACCCTGGGGGAACATTCACCGTCACTAAACCCTGGAGGAACATTCACCGTCACTAAACCCTGGAGGAACATTCACGGTCACTAAACCCTGGGGGAACATTCACCGTCACTAAACCCTGGAGGAACATTCACCGTCACTAAACCCTGGAGGAACATTCACCGTCACTAAACCCTGGAGGAACATTCACCGTCACTAAACCCTGGAGGAACATTCACTCACAAACCCTGGAGGAACATTCACTCACAAACCCTGGGGGGAACATTCACTCACAAACCCTGGGGGAACATTCACCGTCACTAAACCCTGGAGGAACATTCACCGTCACTAAACCCTGGAGGAACATTCACGGTCACTAAACCCTGGGGGAACATTCACCGTCACTAAACCCTGGAGGAACATTCACCGTCACTAAACCCTGGAGGAACATTCACCGTCACTAAACCCTGGAGGAACATTCACCGTCACTAAACCCTGGAGGAACATTCACTCACAAACCCTGGAGGAACATTCACTGTCACTAAACCCTGGAGAAATATTCACAGTCACTAAACCCTGGAGGAACATTCACTCACAAACCCTGGAGGAACATTCACTCACAAACCCTGGGGGAACATTCACCGTCACTAAACCCTGGAGGAACATTCACGGTCACTAAACCCTGGAGGAACATTCACCGTCACTAAACCCTGGAGGAACATTCACTCACAAACCCTGGAGGAACATTCACCGTCACTAAAACCTGGAGGAACATTCACGGTCACTAAACCCTGGAGGAACATTCACTCACAAACCCTGGGGGAACATTCACCATCACTAAACCCTGGAGGAACATTCACGGTCACTAAACCCTGGAGGAACATTCACCGTCACTAAACCCTGGAGGAACATTCACCGTCACTAAACCCTGGAGGAACATTCACCGTCACTAAACCCTGGAGGAACATTCACCATCACTAAACCCTGGGGGAACATTCACTCACAAACCCTGGATAACATATAGCTCTCACAGCTACCTTAAACCCTGGAAAACATTCACCGTCACTAAACCCTGGAGGAAATTCACCGTCACTAAACCCTGGAGAAATACTCACTCCCAAAACCCTGGAGAAATATTCACTCACAAACCCTGGGGGAACATTCACCCCACCAAACCCTGGAGGAACATTCACTCCCAACAACCCTGGGGGAACATTCACTCACAAACCCTGGGGAAACACTCACTCCACTAAACCCTGGGGAACACTTCACTCCCAAACCCTGGAGGAACATTCACCGTCACTAAACCCTGGAGGAACATTCACCGTCACTAAACCCTGGGGGAACATTCACTCACAAACCCTGGATAAATATATAGCTCTCACAGCTACCTTCCTAATCAAACCCAGAAACATGTTCTCTGTCACCAATATATAGCCAATTTGCTAAACCTGGAGAAATACTCACTCCCAACAACCCTGGAGAAATACTCACTCCCAACAATCCTGGAGAAGTACTCACTCCCACCAACCCTGGAGAAATACTCACTCCCAACAACCCTGGAGAAATACTCACTCCCAACAATCCTGGAGAAACACTCACTCCCAACAATCCTGGAGAAACACTCACTCCCAACAACCCTGGAGAAATACTCACTCCCAACAACCCTGGAGAAATACTCACTCCCAACAATCCTGGAGAAATACTCACTCCCAACAACCCTGGAGAAATACTCACTCCCAACAACCCTGGAGAAACACTCACTCCCAACAACCCTGGAGAAATACTCACTCCCAACAACCCTGGAGAAATACTCATTCCAACAACCCTGGAGAAATACTCACTCCCAACAATCCTGGAGAAATACTCACTCCCAACAATCCTGGAGAAATACTCACTCCCAACAACCCTGGAGAAATACTCACTCCCAACAACCCTGGAGAAATACTCACTCCCAACAATCCTGGAGAAATACTCACTCCCAACAACCCTGGAGAAATACTCACTCCCAACAATCCTGGAGAAATACTCACTCCCAACAACCCTGGAGAAACACTCACTCCCAACAATCCTGGAGAAACACTCACTCCCAACAATCCTGGAGAAATACTCACTCCCAACAATCCTGGAGAAATACTCACTCCCAACAATCCTGGAGAAACACTCACTCCCAACAATCCTGGAGAAGTACTCACTCCCAACAATCCTGGAGAAATACTCACTCCCAACAATCCTGGAGAAATACTCACTCCCAACAATCCTGGAGAAATACTCACTCCCAACAACCCTGGAGAAATACTCACTCCCAACAACCCTGGAGAAATACTCACTCCCAACAACCCTGGAGAAATACTCACTCCCAACAATCCTGGAGAAATACTCACTCCCAACAATCCTGGAGAAGTACTCACTCCCACCAACCCTGGAGAAATACTCACTCCCAACAACCCTGGAGAAATACTCACTCCCAACAACCCTGGAGAAATACTCACTCCCAACAACCCTGGAGAAACACTCACTCCCAACAACCCTGGAGAAATACTCACTCCCAACAATCCTGGAGAAATACTCACTCCCAACAATCCTGGAGAAATACTCACTCCCAACAACCCCATACAATGTATCATATCAACCCTGAACAAATATTCTCCCAACAACCCTGGACATCATCCCAACAACTTGGAGAAATAAGAACAACCCTGGATATTACTTACTCCCAACAATACTGTGCTCTCACTCCCAACAACCCTGAGAAACACCATCCCAACAACAAGTTATGTTTTTGTCCCAACAACCCTGGAGAAAACTCACTCCCAACAACCCTGGAGAAACACTCACAACAATCCTGGAGAAATTCACTCCCAACAACCCTGGAAGCTACATACTCCCAACAATCCTGGAGAAACACTGTACTCCCAACAACCCTGGAGAAATTTTTCACTCTGACAGCTGAGAATCCCCAACAATTGGAGATTTCACTCCCACTGCCCTGGAGAAATACTCACTCCCAACAACCCTGGTGGTAGAAATACTCACTCCCAACAATTTGGAGAAATCTTTCCCAACAATCCTGGATTTTGGTGTCAGAATACTCACTCCCAACAATCCTGGAATGTTCCACTCTCCATCTGATCTTCTGGACACTCACTCCCAACAATCCTGGAGAAATACAACATGCATCCCAACAACCCTGGAGATATTCCCAACAACCCTGGAGAAATACTCACTCCCAACAATCCTGGAGAAACACTCATCCCAACAATCCTGGTCAACTTTACTCCCAACAATCCTGGAGAAATACTCACTCCCAACAATCCTGGAGAAACACTCACTCCCAACAATCCTGGAGAAATACTCACTCCCAACAACCCTGGAGAAATACTCACTCCCAACCACCCTGGAGAAATACTCACTCCCACCAACCCTGGAGAAATACTCACTCCCAACAATCCTGGAGAAGTACTCACTCCCAACAATCCTGGAGAAACACTCACTCCCAACAATCCTGGAGAAGTACTCACTCCCAACAATCCTGGAGAAGTACTCACTCCCAACAATCCTGGAGAAACACTCACTCCCAACAACCCTGGAGAAATACTCACTCCCAACAATCCTGGAGAAATACTCACTCCCAACAACCCTGAAGAAATACTCACTCCCAACAATCCTGGAGAAATACTTGCTTCCACGAACCTTCGAGAAATATTCACTTCCACAACCCCATACAATGTATCATATCTGAACAAACATTCTAATCATTCACATCATGAACAACTTGTTAAGGAAGAATTCTGTATATTAGGTTATTTAAAGCAATACTGTGCTCTTGGAAGCCACAGATGAAACAACCATGTTTAAACAAGTTATGTTTTTGTCCGAGGAACAACATGATTGGAAATTCACACATCATTTCGCTCTTGGAAGCTACATAGTCAACATCGGTCAAACAATGTATTCTAGACTGACTTTTTCACTCTGACAGCATGAGAATCTCGATAGTTAGATTTCAGTCAATACTGCCTAGGCAAATATTATTCAATCTTAACTTTGGTGGTAGTGTATAGGCAGTTTGGTCTTTATGTCTTATTTTGGTGTCAGAATATGTTGAACAAAGTCGAGGAATGTTCCACTCTCCATCTGATCTTCTGGAAGTCGTCGAGCCAAGGAGCACTACCAACAAAAAAACAATAAGATGGACATGCATCACTGTGATATTCACAATAGGTAATGAGATCTTAAATCAAGCTCTTATAACCATACTTGTCAACTTTACATTTTGATTTTCATGGAAGTGATTGCACATACTCAAAACCTCAACATTGCATCTATAAATCTTCATTCCATTTTTATTACCAGTCTGCTACATCATGTCGAAAAGCAGAACAGAGTCGAGGGTCAAAGCGCTTTTAATACTACTTATTTAGGCTATCCATTCAGATTGCTGTTCTGTATTATCTTATTGTCATGTAATAAGCCCATCCCCTGACCTTGATCAAGAGTTAATGTAATGCTCCCTGGACTTATTGTCCAGTAACAAGCCCATCCCTCCACTTTAATTGAGAGGTAAGGTACTGCCCCCTGGACTTATTGTCCAGTAACAAGCCCATCCCTCCACTTTAATTGAGAGGTAAGGTACTGCCCCCTGGACTTATTGTCCAGTAACAAGCCCATCCCTCCACTTTAATCGAGAGGTAAGGTACTGCCCCTTGGACTTATTGTCCAGAAACAACCCATCCCTTCACTTTAATCGAGAGGTAAGGTACTGCCCCCTTGATTTATTGTCCAGTAACAAGCCCATCCCTCCACTTTAATCAAGAGGTAAAGTACTGCCCCTTGGACTTATAGTCCAGTAACAAGCCCATCCCTCCACTTTAATCAAGAGGTATTGTACCTTGATTTTGTCCATGTATGAGATGGATGGCTGCCATATTTGTCTGAACTTTAGGAAGTCTGGTGCCCCACGATAAAAATCTGCAATCACTCGCTGTAAAAACAAAAACAAAGAAAGTGAGCGACAAAAGATTCATATACAACTGAGAAGTAGGAACTTCACATCTCTACATAGATAAGAACATTTAGTCAAATACCTCAAAACAGTGTCCCTCTATCCCGTCTCCTTACCATACTCATACCATCCCCCTATCCTCTGCCCCTTCTCCTAACCATACCCCGCCATCCCCCTTTCCCCTATCACCTCTCCTCACCATACCCCCATCTCCCTATTCCCTATCCCCTGGCCCCTCCCCTAACCATAATCTCCCATCTCCCTATGTCCTGCCTCCTCTCCTAACCATACCCCGCCATCCCCCTTTCCCCTATCACCTCCGCTCACCATACCCCCATCTTCCTATTCCCTATGCCCTGGCCCCTCCCCTAACCATAACAACCCATCTCCCTATGCCCTGCCCCCTCTCCTAACCATACCCCCATCTCCCCATCCCATGCCCCCTCTCCTATCCATACCCCCCATCTCCCTATCCCCTGCCCCCTCTCCTAATCATACTCTCCCTATCTCCCTATCCCCTCCCCTAACCATACCCCACCATCCCCTATCCCCTGCTCCCTCTCCTAACCAACCCCCTCCTTCATCTCCCTATCCCCTATTTCCTATCCCCTCTCCTAACCATACCCCACAATCCCCTTTCCCCTGCTCCCTCTCCTAACCAACCCCCTCCTCCATCTCCCTATCCCCTATTTCCTATCCCCTCCCCTAACCATACCCCACCATCCCCTATCCCCTGCTCCCTCTCCTAACCAACCCCCTCCTCCATCTCCCTATCCCCTATTTCCTATCCCCTCCCCTAACCATACCCCACCATCCCCTATCCCCTACTCCCTCTCCTAACCAACCCCCTCCTCCATCTCCCTATCCCCTATGCTCTGGCCCCTCCCCTAACCATACCCCCATCCCCTATCCTCTTTCCCCTGCCTCCTCTTCTATCCATACCCATCCCTACCCATCCCTACCCCATTATCCTTTTTCCTGTTAACTCACAATTAGACCTGAAGTAACAAAAGCCTCTCTCACCCTCAGGCAATAAGAAATGAAGATTAATGTATTTAAACATAACTAAGTTTGTTGCCATGATGACAGTGGACAATACTGACCATCTCTGTGAGCAGGTCCTCAGTTACCGACTGATTTTGTCGCAGGGAGTACTTGACCTTCATGGGAATACCATAGTCTGAAGGCTGGCTCTGAAATTTAATCATAAATTACAATAAGCCCAGAATCAATTACAATAAGCCCACCATTAGTTAAAATAAGCACATTATCAGTTTAAACAAGCCCATTACCAATTAAAATAGCACAGTATCAGTTAAAATAAGCCCAGTATCAGTTTAAACAAGCCCATTACCAATTTAAATAAGCCCAGTTTCAGTTAAAATAAGCCCAGTATCAGTTAGGATAAGCCAAGTATCAGTAAAAATAAGCCCATTACCAATTAAAATAAACACAATATCAGCTAAAATAAGCCCAGTATCAGTTAAAATAAGCGCAGTTTTAGTTAAAATCAGCCCAGTATCAGTTAAAATAAGCACAGTATCAGCTAAAATAAATCCAGTATCAGTTAAAATAAGCCCAGTGTCAGTTAAAATAAGCCCAGCGTCAGTTAAAATAAGCCCAGTGTCAGTTAAAATAAATCCAGTATCAGTTAAAATAAGCCCAAATATCAGTTAAAATAAGCACAGTATCAGCTAAAATAAAATCAAGTATCAGTTAAAATAAGCCCAGTGTCAGTTAAAATAAGCCCAGTGTCAGTTAAAATAAATCCAGTATCAGTTAAAATAAGCCCAAATATCAGTTAAAATAAGCACAGTATCAGCTAAAATAAAATCAAGTGTCAGTTAAAATAAGCCCAGTGTCAGTTAAAATAAGCCCAGTGTCAGTTAAAATAAATCCAGTATCAGTTAAAATAAGCCCAAATATCAGTTAAAATAAGCACAGTATCAGCTAAAATAAATCCAGTATCAGTTAAAATAAATCCAGTATCAGTTAAAATAAGCCCAAATATCAGTTAAAATAAGCACAGTATCAGCTAAAATAAAATCAAGTGTCAGTTAAAATAAGCCCAGTATCAGTTGAAATAAGCCCACTATCAGTTACAATACCATTTTTCATTGGTTTTCCTCCGTTTCTTAACAAAGCCTGCTTTTGCAGTCTGTTTTTCCACCAGGTAGGGAAACTACTTTATTCCAATGATAATGTTTGAATACTTTCAAATGAATTTTTGTTGTTTTTCAGACAAGGTGAGATCAATCATATCATATGAAGGAGAATCTAACGTGTAAATACATATTTTGATTCTGGTCAACAATTTTACGTTTTTAAAACTTAAATCTAAAATATCAAAAAACAATTAATGATTATCACCACAATTTCTACACATCTGTAAAACTAATAACTTATACATAGTACAGTTAAAGGTATAGAATTTCCAAATAAGGCATGAAGGGTTACATTAGTAAAGTTTGGACTTTTTTAACCTATATCAAACCTCATAGTCAAGATAATGTTCCATACTCCTGACAAAAGTACATGACAAAATGTTTTTAACCTAACAGATACTGTAAAATCAATTTTAGTGAATTTTTCGAAAAAAAAAAACAACTTTTACCTGGACACCTGATTTTGCGGATAAATATAACTTAATAAATCTACTAAAAATTTGTGGATTAAGAGTATAAGCGATGCCAATAAAAATAAAATTCCTGCAAAATTAATGATTTTAAAGTAAACCTTTAAATAAGTAACTTTGAGACTAACTGTACCAACCAATATAAATGTTATAGGGTGTTTTTTCAAGGCCCCTGACCTATGACCTGAAAGGGTCTGTGACCTTAACAACCTCTCACCTCTAATGGAGGCATGACCATGAAGATCTGCAGTGATGACGTTTTCTTTGTTGTCTTTCTGTTATATGGAGCTGAAAAATATTAGCGAAAGAAATACAAAAAAGTACACTAAAAGTGCATGGATAAAAAGATTCAGACCCAACTTGATTAGTGTTATCAACATATTTGTTTAACTTCCACATGTATGTTTCACTCTTTTTTGACAAAGGAGAAAAAAGTTTGATGTTAAAGTTGAAATGCATTTTTTCATGTATATTAGATCAAGTTTAAGACAGGACAAAACCAAAGGGTTCTCTATGAGGACAAAAGCACTGACGATTGTTTTCCTACATAAGTTTATAGTCTTTCTTTTATCACAAAGAATAATGATAAAGGGTGATAACTCCTGAAATTAATATTTGTGTCGTGTACACATTGTATATGGTGAAGCATTTTAACATTCTGCCACTGTCAGAATGAGACACATGATCAGACACACCATACAATGCAGTCTTCTTACCATATATCTTGAAAGAAGCCCACAATGGACGTTATCATTTACCCACAATGCACCCTGATCTAACCACAATACAACTTGATATCTACCCGAAATGTTTCTCGACAATGACTGTAATTTAAGTTTATCATATTTATTGTGCACATTTATATTAGTTCATAATATAATTTTTCACATTCATTAGACAATAATTATAATTATTACATTCTTAATGTTCCGTAAACACGTAAAGGTCATTATGGCCATCAACCGGTGAAACACACAGGAAATACAATCAAACAAACTGTAAGGCAAAAGACTGAAAATCTGATCACAAAAGATTAAAATGGTAAGTCATAGTCACAGACCAGCATCCCTCAGATAACCTACAATTTTATTCATCTCAACAGTTTCATAAAGGGTCTTTAGACAGAAGGTCAATGCAGTCCAATAAAAAGTGTTTAACTGCGAATGGCTCACCACATCCTATGCATTGAGGAAAATCTAGGTCTTTCAACATATATGAATGTGTAAGTGTAAGTAAGTATAGCCCGTCCAAAGACAGGCAAGGACAACTTTGTCTCAATGGTTGTCTATATAGCATTCACCAATGATAGGTTTTATGGATTGCAATTTATTATCGGTATATCGATTCCATTCCTCCTGCCACTGATATCATTCTAAACATGATCATTCTAAACATAATCATTATAAACATAATCGTTATAAACATAATCGTTATAAACATGATCATTATAAACATAATCGTTATAAACATAATCATTATAAACATAATCGTTATAAACATAATCGTTATAAACATAATCATTATAAACATAATCCTTATAAACATAATCGTTATAAACATAATCGTTATAAACATAATCATTATAAACATAATCGTTATAAACATAATCGTTATAAACATGATCATTATAAACATAATCGTTATAAACATAATCATTATAAACATGATCGTTACTGTGTATGTAGCAGATAGAAACTGCAATTACCACAATCATTTCAGAGCAATACTTTACGTACAAAAAGTGTTGAAATAAGATCACCACCCCACTAAAACATTTTAATTTACAGTGAACTATAAGAAGAGAGGTGCACAGTGACATGGGCTTATTTGAGGATATGCACATTTAGTACTGAAACTATATATAGATATGTTCAGGCTTATTGCTAGGCATGGGCTTATCATTTAATGGCACATAAATAACCATTTACTATGAACTTTTTCACTTGAACAACAATTTGCAAGTTATTTAAGTTTTGCCAGGGTGTAAGTGGTAGAAGGGCTACTGCTGTGCCTGTTGACCACCAGCATTTATTTAGATATCAAAGTAATGATGTTTTACATCTAATTTTCTACATTTCAAGGATTATATTGGTATATAGGGGTCATCATGATAGCTCAGTCAGTAGAGTGTTTGCCTATGAAAGCTTAAGTGCAGGTCAGAGGTGTGTGGTTCAATGTTCCCTACCAAAACAGACCAGTCTGAGGTGGTGTGGTCATGTCCCTTGGTAACACAGTTTACCCTAATTGATGGTCCTCTGGTATGTTGTTCAGTGAGCTAGTCACCAGCAAATACACGGAGACCCCATCTCAAAATGACCCTTACTATTCACAGGACGTCTAAAGCAAACCGACATTCTTACAAATTAATCTATAAATATAAAACAATTTCTGGGAGGTTGATTTTTGTTATGTGAAACTTGAACAAGCATTTTAAGTAAAATATAGACCTATGCTTCTCAAGCAATGAATTTTATATTATATCCTACATATAGCCAGAAAAAAGTTTAAATAATGAGATACTCTTCACTAGCTTTGGATGGTATTTTGCCTGAAATATTTGTCAATATATTTGTGAGCTGTCCCATAAAAATCACACAATCTTGGGTATAGGAAATGGATTCTTGTCAATTTCATATAAATGTTTTCACCTAATGAAAGTTTTTAATCAACTCTATGAAATTGAATTAAAAAGGTTTGTTGTAGCTGGCAGGAAAATGAAAATAGTAATTTACCAAGATCAGAATTATCAGCAAGAAGGAATTTGTTGTTGGTTGGTTGCAATAGTGGAATATATTGTCTCAGATATGTAATGACCTCTCTGTATACATACATATTCAATATTCTTTAAACGAGACTCATGGACCTATCTTAGTTCCAGGAATCTTTTAAGTCAACAAAATCATTGGATCAATGAAAGGATTTGATGTAACTAATGGAGCCACTACAGATTAACCTTACTCAGATAGAATTACAGGGACTTGTAATATTACAAGTAGTTGGTGAATAAGCTAATTTGTTGATAATTTTGCTGAAAAGCAACTGATCCTGATATGGGTAATGTTCATTGCTGTCCGAAAACAAAACACAACATAGTTTCCAATATGTCTACCCATCCTTTCTAACTACATGTAGAGTGATCCTGTTTCTGAGATCAGACAGCCGCGTTACTCAAACCTGATATTGATAAAAAGAAGTAATTCGTTTTGTGTTTATTTTACCCAGTCTGGCCCATTGTGTTGAGTGATCAATTTTACCTATATTTACATGTATAATTCAACTTTCTGTGTTTGTAAACTGTAAAAACAACAATTGATACAAAAATAAAGCTTTAACAGGAGAGAAAAAAAAAAAGTATAAAAACAACAGGTGGTAGTGATAAAGCTGCCTTTGTGACATGATATGCTTTGTCAGTAAACAATAAGCCCATGCCTAGAAATACATCCATCTATAGATATTGCTGTTAGGCCAATGCTACTTTATTTTTTCCTACAATAAGCTCATCATGACAAGAATCCATAAGTGTAACCATGGTAAAATGCTAACTGCAAATACCGCTTAGCTAAAGAGAACTTCTCATCAGCTCGATCTGTTAAGCATCAGATTAGTAAGTCAGGGGTTCCGGGTTCGATTCCTAGAAGAGGCATTGAAATTAATAATGACCTCTGTTACACTGGTGCCCATGTAGGGACCCGGGAATAGTACTTAGCCACACCATACCAGCATCCCTGTAACCCCTGGAAACTCGAGGACGATTTCTTTCCTAGAGAGTGAGTATATAACACTGGTAAAGTGCTAGTCGCAATATACTGCTCGGCTAGTGAAAAAATCTCTTTAGTTGGATTGGTTAAACGTTGGACCAGTAAGCCTGGGGTCCGGGTTTGATTGGTTAAGCGTCGGACCAGTAAGCCTGGGGTCCCGGGTTTGATTGGTTAAGCGTCGGACCAGTAAGCCTGGGGTCCCGGGTTTGATTGGTTAAGCGTCGGACCAGTAAGCCTGGGGTCCCGGGTTTGATTGGTTAAGCGTCGGACCAGTAAGCCTGGGGTCCCGGGTTTGATTGGTTAAGCGTCGGACCAGTAAGCCTGGGGTCCCGGGTTTGATTGGTTAAGCGTCGGACCAGTAAGCCTGGGGTCCAGGGTTTGATTGGTTAAGCGTCAAACCAGTAGGTTTGATTGGTTAAGCGTCGGACCAGAAAGCCTGGGGTCCCGGATTTGATTGGTTAAGCGTTGGACCAGTAAGCCTGGGGTCCCGGGTTTGATTGGTTAAGCATTGGACCAGAAAGCCTGGGGTCCCGGGTTTGATTCCTAGCACAGACATTGAAATAAATAATGAACTTGAGTGACAAGGAATGTCTATAATTTTACTGCAGGATACAGAAATTCATTTTTATGTAAATCAACAATACAACCAAAACTGACACTTACCCACAATGCACCCAACACAAGGGAAGTAGGTGGAGCCTTTGCCCTTCATACGTAGCTGATAGGACATCTGACAGTCGATGTCCTTCACGGACGGATCAGGCTGGCAGTACGGATGACTGTGATACCAGCCAACTAATGACAGACCGACTCGTGTCATCTGTTTCCTGATCTATAATCAAAGGTCAAATATTCAACATTTTTTCTGTTGTCCCATCTACTCCTATATAATCACAACCCTTACAATACGACACTTGTATATAAAGACAAAACATTAAACCATTGATATGACTTATACTGATGAATCTTTCAGTCTCATCACCAGCACGATAAAATTTAATCATTTTACTGTGTGTAATGCAGACAGAGGTAACTCAAAGTAGAGATTTCTAATCAAAAAGGAACTGCTCTTCAAATATCTTATCTCAAGAATACACGTCTCAGTTTATATCACACAAACAAATAACACGGTTTTCTCAAGACATTGTAAGCTGTGATGTCAAACTCAATACATAACAAGACATTGTAAGCTGTGATGTCAAACTCAATACATATCAAGACATTGTAAGCTGTGATGTCAAACTCAATACATGACAAGACATTGTAAGCTGTGATGTCAAACTCAATACATGACAAGACATTGTAAGCTGTGATGTCAAACTCAAAACATAACACAATCAATAATGAGGCCAAAACTTAATGACAAAGTTTATACAACATAAGATATGATCACTTAGTGAGTGATCTTAAAAGACTTTGGTCTAAAGTAAGCAGCATTTTCCTACAAAAGGAATGACACCTGAATTCTAGGCAAAATGTTCACAAGTGCTTTCTTCCCAATATGCTACCATGTCATTTAATGCTTGTGTGAGATGTCTTCTTTCAAAGGAAAGACAGATTTCCCTAGCAAACACAGAAACATGGATGTCAGTTAAGTCTTACCTCGTCTTCAGTGGCACCAGACATTCTGTTGTCTAGTATACTGTGATGTCAGTTAAGTCTTACCTCGTCTTCAGTGGCACCAGACATTCTGTTGTCTAGTATGCTGTGATGTCAGTTAAACCTTACCTTGTCTTCAGTGGCACCAGGCATTCTGTTGCCTAGTATACTGTGATGTCAGTTAAACCTTACCTCGTCTTCAGTGGCACCAGACATTCTGTTGTCTAGTATACTGTGATGTCAGTTAAGTCTTACCTCGTCTTCAGTGGCACCAGACATTCTGTTGTCTAGTATACTGTGATGTCAGTTAAGTCTTACCTCGTCTTCAGTGGCACCAGACATTCTGTTGTCTAGTATACTGTGATGTCAGTTAAATCTTACCTCGTCTTCAGTGGCACCAGACATTCTGTTGTCTAGTATACTGTGATGTCAGTTAAGTCTTACCTCGTCTTCAGTGGCACCAGACATTCTGTTGTCTAGTATACTGTGATGTCAGTTAAGTCTTACCTCGTCTTCAGTGGCTCCAGACATTCTGTTGTCTAGTATACTGTGATGTCAGTTAAACCTTACCTCGTCTTCAGTGGCACCAGACATTCTGTTGTCTAGTATACTGTGATGTCAGTTAAGTCTTACCTCGTCTTCAGTGGCACCAGACATTCTGTTGTCTAGTATACTGTGATGTCAGTTAAGTCTTACCTCGTCTTCAGTGGCACCAGACATTCTGTTGTCTAGTATACTGTGATGTCAGTTAAGTCTTACCTCGTCTTCAGTGGCACCAGACATTCTGTTGTCTAGTATACTGTGATGTCAGTTAAGTCTTACCTCGTCTTCAGTGGCACCAGACATTCTGTTGTCTAGTATACTGTGATGTCAGTTAAGTCTTACCTCGTCTTCAGTGGCTCCAACATTCTGTTGTCTAGTATATGTGATGTCAGTTAAGTCTTACCTCGTCTTCAGTGGCACCAGACATTCTGTTGTCTAGTATACTGTGATGTCAGTTAAGTCTTACCTCATCTTCAGTGGCACCAGACATTCTGTTGTCTAGTATACTGTGATGTCAGTTAAGTCTTACCTCATCTTCAGTGGCACCAGACATTCTGTTGTCTAGTATACTGTGATGTCAGTTAAGTCTTACCTCATCTTCAGTGGCATCAGACAAATCTGTTGTCTAGTATATACTGTGATGTCAGTTAAGTCTTACCTCGTATTACATAACAGAAACATATATACTGTTGTACCCAGTATATACCAAACCCTACCCCAGTATATACCAAACCCAAAGTATATACCAAACCCTACTATATACCAAACCCAACCCCAGATATACCAAACCCTGTATACCAAACCCAACCCCAGTATATACCAAACCCTCCCAGTATATACCAAACTATATACCAAACCAACCCCTGTATGTACCAAACCCTACCCAGTATATACCAGTATATACCAAACCCAACCCCAGTATATACCAAACCCTACCCAGTATATACCAAACCCAACCCCAGTATATACCAAACCCTACCAAACCCTACCCAGTATATACCAAACCCTACTCTGTATATACCAAACCCTACTCTGTATATACCAAACCCTACCCTGTATATACCAAACCCTACCCAGTATATACCAAACCCTACCCAGTATATACCAAACCCTACCCAGTATATACCAAACCCTACCCAGTATATACCAAACCCAACCCCAGTATATACCAAACCCAACTATATACCAAACCCCAGTATATACCAAACCCTACCCAGTATATACCAAACCCTACCCCAGTATATACCAAACCCAACCCCAGTATATACCAAACCCTACCCAGTATATACCAAACACAACCCCAGTATATACCAAACCCAACCCCAGTATATACCAAACCCTACCCAGTATATACCAAACCCAACCCCAGTATATACCAAACCCTACCCAGTATATACCAAACCCTACCCAGTATATACCAAACCCTACCCCAGTATATACCAAACCCAACCCCAGTATATACCAAACCCTACCCAGTATATACCAAACCCTACCCAGTATATACCAAACCCTACCCCAGTATATACCAAACCCAACCCCAGTATAAACCAAACCCTACCCAGTATATACCAAACCCAACCCCAGTATATACCAAACCCAACCCCAGTATATACCAAACCCTACCCAGTATATACCAAACCCAACCCAGTATATACCAAACCCAACCCCTGTATATACCAAACCAACCCAGTATATACCAAACCCTACCCCAGTATATACCAGACCCTACCCCAGTATATACCAGACCCAACCCCAGTATATACCAAACCCAACCCAGTATATACCAAACCCTACCCAGTATATACCAAACCCTACCCTGTATATACCAAACCCAACCCCAGTATATACCAAACCCTACCCAGTATATACCAAACCCTACCCCAGTATATACCAAACCCTACCCAGTATATACCAAACCCTACCCAGTATATACCAAACCCTACCCCAGTATATACCAAACCCTACCCAGTATATACCAAACCCTACCCCAGTATATACCAAACCCAACCCCAGTATATACCAAACCCAACCCAGTATATACCAAAACCTACCCCAGTATATACCAAACCCTACCCAGTATATACCAAACCCTACCCAGTATATACCAAACCCTACCCCAGTATATACCAAACCCAACCCCAGTATATACCAAACCCTACCCTGTATATACCAAACCCAACCCCTGTATATACCAAACCCTACCCCAGTATATACCAAACCCTACCCTGTATATACCAAACCCAACCCCAGTATATACCAAACCCAACCCCTGTATATACCAAACCCAACCCCAGTATATACCAAACCCTACCCAGTATATACCAAACCCTACCCCAGTATATACCAAACCCAACCCCAGTATATACCAAACCCAACCCAGTATATACCAAACCCTACCCCAGTATATACCAAACCCAACCCCAGTATATACCAAACCCTACCCAGTATATACCAAACCCAACCCAGTATATACCAAACCCAACCCAGTATATACCAAACCCTACCCTGTATATACCAAACCCTACCCCAGTATATACCAAACCCAACCCAGTATATACCAAACCCTACCCCAGTATATACCAAACCCAACCCCAGTATATACCAAACCCAACCCCAGTATATACCAAACCCAACCCCAGTATATACCAAACCCAACCCCTGTATATACCAAACCCAACCCAGTATATACCAAAACCTACCCCAGTATATACCAAACCCTACCCAGTATATACCAAACCCTACCCAGTATATACCAAACCCTACCAATATACCCTACCCCAGTATATACCAAACCCTACCCCAGTATATACCAAACCCAACCCAGTATATACCAAACCCAACCCAGTATATACCAAACCCTACCCTGTATATACCAAACCCTACCCTGTATATACCAAACCCTACTCTGTATATACCAAACCCTACCCTGTATATACCAAACCCTTACTACAATATTGATTTTATACACCGGATATACTCTTAAATATACACCATACATACAAATTATACATACACACCATATATACACACACATACATACACATCATACATACACACCATACATACACACCATACATACAAATTATACATACACACCATATATACACACACATACATACACATCATACATACACACCATACATACACACCATACATACAAATTATACATACACACCATATATACACACACATACATACACATCATACATACACACCATACATACAAATTATACATACACACCATACATACACATCATACATACACACCATACATACAAATTATACTTACACACCATACATACACACCATACACACACATACATACACATCATACATACACACATACATACACACCATACATACAAATTATACATACACACCATACATACACACCATACACACACTTACATACACACACATACATACACACCATACATACAAATTATACATACACACCATACATACACATACATACACACCATACATACAAATTATACATACACACCATACATACACACCATACACACATACATACACACACATACATACACACCATACATTTGTATTTTCTCTTAACACAAGTACAATCGCTGCACAGAACACTTTCTTAAACAGATCAGAAATGATTTTGAATATTTTCTTTACTATTTCATCTGGTGTAAATATTTGCATATTCTTGTAACAATTTATTTGAGAGGGTCCTACATAATTTGCATACAATGTATAAAATATGATTAAGGAGTTCCAATATGATGGCTCCAGAGCTGTGGTAATTAAAACATTCACAATCTCTTGAGCTTTTAGAGATAATTCAATGTAGACAACACAATGTATTCCATTTTAAATCTAGAACTTGAATTCTTCTGAATCACACATGTTGGTGGTAAAACATCAAGATGACCAAGTATTACTCTCATTTTTACACAACAGGGTTTGATACATTAACACATAACATGCTGATTTTCTTGGGAGTTAAAAATATCACTTGCTGAAAAAGGTTTTAATATAAATTGTATGCTGTCTTACTCAGCCTACAATAGATCTCTTTAATAACTTCTGACTGAATGTATCTTTTTTTTCAAAATACTGTCAAGTTGTTATTTTCACATGGTTCAACCACATAATATAGTTCCAGTGAAAATTTAGTCCAATGTTGATGTCTTATTTAACTTATCAACTGACATTTACTCCATCTACATACAAAAATAAAATCCACCAATATGAATACTGTTACAGTAATATTTATGCATCAATAAACATGGAAATCTTTTGTAGTATATTCATATAATGTATTCTATCCTTCAGTGTACATACAAACAGTACAAAACACTACAAGTATTATTATAGATGTTATAGAAACATTATAATTACCATAAGCAGGGACGCATTGGTTGTCATGGAGACAGTAAATGGCTGCACTTTGTCAAGGTTACTGAAAGCTTCGCACTCCACCAGTGTGTTTGGGTCACTAAAACATGAATTTGTTAAAGTAACTGAAAGCATAAGCTCAAATTTAATTTCAGGATGTTAATAAAAACTTAACACTCAGCTTAAGAAGCAGATATAAGATGGAGCATCAACCCAGGAAGTCTGTAACCTCATATTTTATTTGTTGACAAGTTTCGGTTGGCTAGGTCAACCATCTTCAGAACCAAACAGGTCAATAATCCCTGGTGTTGATACTACAACTTAATGTTTGCCTGTTATAACCTATTGTCTATATCACTCTAAAAGAAAACTACAGTATCCACTTAGGATTTCACAACCAGTACCACACACAGGACATTGGACTCCTCTACCCATACATTTACCTACCAGTACCACACACAGACCATTGGACTCCTCTACCCATACATCTACCAACCAGTACCACCCAGAGGACATTGGACTCCTCCACCCATACATCTACCAACCAGTACCACACACAGGACCTTGGACTCCTCTACCCATACATTTACCTACCAGTACCACACACAGACCATTGGACTCCTCTACCTATACATCTACCAACCAGTACCACCCAGAGGACATTGGACTCCTCCACCCATACATCTACCAACCAGTACCACACACAGGACATTGGACTCCTCTACCCATACATTTACCTACCAGTACCACACACAGACCATTGGACTCCTCTACCCATACATCTACCAACCAGTACCACACACAGGACATTGGACTCCTCTACCCATACTCCTACCTACCAGTACCACCCACAGGACATTGGACTCCTCATAACAATACATCTACCAACCAGTAACACACACAGGACATTGGACTCCTCTACTCATACATCTACCAACCAGTGCCACACACAGGACATTGGACTCCTCTACCCATACATTTACCAACCAGTATCACACACAGGACATTGGACTCCTCCACCCATACATCTACCACGCAGTACCACCCACAGGCCATTGGACTCCTCTACCCATACATCTACCAACCAGTACCACCCACAGGACATTGGACTCCTCTACCCATACATCTACCAACCAGTACCACCCACAGGACATTGGACTCCTCCACCCATACATCTACCACGCAGTACCACCCACAGGACATTGGACTCCTCCACCCATACATCTACCACGCAGTACCACCCACAGGACATTGGACTCCTCCACCCATACATCTACCACGCAGTACCACTCACAGACCATTGGACTCCTCTACCCATACATCTACCAACCAGTACCACACACAGGACATTGGACTCCTCTACCCATACATCTACCAACCAGTACCACACACAGGACATTGGACTCCTCTACCCATACTCCTACCTACCAGTACCACCCACAGGCCATTGGACTCCTCTACCCATACATCTTCCAACCAGTACCACCCACAGGACATTGGACTCCTCATAACAATACATCTACCAACCAGTACCACACACAGGACATTGGACTCCTCTACCCATACTCCTACCTACCAGTACCACCCACAGGACATTGGACTCCTCTACCCATACATCTACCAACCAGTACCACCCACAGGACATTGGACTCCTCATACCAATACATCTACCTACCAGTACCACACACAGGACATTGGACTCCTCTACCCATACTCCTACCTACCAGTACCACACACAGGACATTGGACTCCTCTACCCATACATCTACCAACCAGTACCACACACAGGACATTGGACTCCTCCATCCATACATCTACCAACCAGTACCATCCACAGGACATTGGACTCCTCCACCCATACATCTACCAACCAGTACCACACAGGACATTGGACTCCTCCACCCATACATCTACCTACCAGTATCACACACAGGACATTGGACTCCTCTACCCATACATCTACCAACCAGTACCACCCACAGGACATTGGACTCCTCCAACCATACATCTACCAACCCGTACCACCCACAGGACATTGGACTCCTCTACCAATACATCTACCTACCAGTACCACATACAGGACATTGGACTCCTCTACCTATACTCCTACCTACCAGTACCACCCACAGGACATTGGAATCCTCTACCCATACATCTACCAACCAGTACCACACACAGGACATTGGACTCCTCATACCAATACATCTACCAACCAGTACCACACACAGGACATTGGACTCCTCTACCCATACATCTACCAACCAGTACCACACACAGGACATTGGACTCCTCTACTCATACATCTACCAACCAGTATCACACACAGGACATTGGACTCCTCTACCCATACATCTACCAACCAGTACCACCCACAGGACATTGGACTCCTCCAACCATACATCTACCAACCCGTACCACCCACAGGACATTGGACTCCTCTACCAATACATCTACCTACCAGTACCACACACAGGACATTGGACTCCTCTAATCATACATCTACCAACCAGTACCACACACAGGACATTGGACTCCTCTACCCATACATCTACCAACCAGTACCACACACAGGACATTGGACTCCTCTACTCATACATCTACCAACCAGTACCACACACAGGACATTGGACTCCTCTAATCATACATCTACCAACCAGTACCACACACAGGACATTGGACTCCTCTAATCATACATCTACCAACCAGTACCACACACAGGACATTGGACTCCTCTACCCATACATCTACCAACCAGTACCACCCACAGGACATTGGACTCCTCCACCTCTTTGGATTTTTTTTCCCACTCAACTTAAGTGCTAATGGGAAGTGTCAAAACTGCATGTTACATGGCTGCATTGTTTCAGTATCGAGTGTCAAAGGTAATTACTTACATGTTTTGGCTGCGCTTTTTGAGTGCAGAGTGCCGAATGGACACTCGGTCACACACATTGTTATTATTTGTTTCAGAGGCAGGAGTTGAAGGGGGTGTGACAGGGGGTGTGGCAGACGGGGTGGCTAACAACTTCATCCTTCTTTTCTCGTTCGTAGGTGTGGTCTTTAAGGACAGATTCAAAGCTGCAACAGTTTTAACCAAAGATCTAAATAAACAATTCTTTCTCTAAACTCAACAACGCTAGGAAAACTCTTCCTGCTTATGTTTTAATGATATCATTGAATTTTATCTGTTCCAACAACCCATCATTGTTATCCCTAGTGACTAGTCCCTAGTGACAAGTACATGTCAATAGCTGCTGTTCCAACAACCCATCATTGTTATCCCTATTGACTAGTACATGTCAATAGCTGCTGTTCCAACAACCCATCATTGTTATCCCTATTGACTAGTACATGTCAATAGCTGCTGTTCCAACAACCCATCATTGTTATCCCTAGTGACTAGTACATGTCAATAGCTGCTGTTCCAACAACCCATCATTGTAATCCCTAGTGACTAGTACATGTCAATAGCTGCTGTTCCAACAACCCATCATTGTTATCCCTATTGACTAGTACATGTCAATAGCTGCTGTTCCAACAACCCATCGTTGTTATCCCTAGTAACTAGTCCCTAGTGACTAGTACATGTCAATAGCTGCTGTTCCAACAACCCATCATTGTAATCCCTAGTGACTAGTACATGTCAATAGGTGCTGTTCCAACAACCCATCATTGTTATCCCTAGTGACTAGTCCCTAGTGACTAGTACATGTCAATAGCTGCTGTTCCAACAACCCATCATTGTAATCCCTAGTGACTAGTCCCTAGTGACTAGTACATGTCAATAGCTGCTGTTCCAACAACCCATCATTGTTATCCCTAGTGACTAGTCCCTAGTGACAAGAACATGTCAATAGCTGCTGTTCCAACAACCCATCATTGTAATCCCTAGTGACTAGTACATGTCAATAGCTGCTGTTCCAACAACCCATCATTGTAATCCCTAGTGACTAGTACATGTCAATAGCTGCTGTTCCAACAACCCATCATTGTTATCCCTATTGACTAGTACATGTCAATAGCTGCTGTTCCAACAACCCATCATTGTTATCCCTTGTGACTAGTCCCTAGTGACTAGTACATGTCAATAGCTGCTGTTCCAACAACCCATCATTGTAATCCCTAGTAACTAGTACATGTCAATAGCTGATGTTCCAACAACCCATCATTGTTATCCCTAGTGACTAGTACATGTCAATAGCTGCTGTTCCAACAACCCATCATTGTTATCCCTTGTGACAAGTACATGTCAATAGCTGCTGTTCCAACAACCCATCATTGTTATCCCTTGTGACAAGTACATGTCAATAGCTGCTGTTCCAACAACCCATCATTGTTATCCCTAGTGACCAGTCCCTAGTGACTAGTACATGTCAATAGCTGCTGTTCCAACAACCCATCATTGTAATCCCTAGTAACTAGTACATGTCAATAGCTGCTGTTCCAACAACCCATCATTGTTATCCCTAGTGACTAGTACATGTCAATAGCTGCTGTTCCAACAACCCATCATTGTTATCCCTTGTGACAAGTACATGTCAATAGCTGCTGTTCCAACAACCCATCATTGTTATCCCTATTGACTAGTACATGTCAATAGCTGCTGTTCCAACAACCCATCATTGTTATCCCTAGTGACTAGTCCCTAGTGACTAGTACATGTCAATAGCTGCTGTTCCAACAACCCATCATTGTAATCCCTAGTGACTAGTACATGTCAATAGCTGCTGTTCCAACAACCCATCATTGTTATCCCTTGTGACAAGTACATGTCAATAGCTGCTGTTCAAACAACCCATCATTGTAATCCCTATTGACTAGTACATGTCAATAGCTGCTGTTCCAACAACCCATCATTGTTATCCCTAGTGACTAGTCCCTATTGACTAGTACATGTCAATAGCTGCTGTTCCAACAACCCATCATTGTAATCCCTAGTGACTAGTACATATCAATAGCTGCTGTTCCAACAACCCATCATTGTAATCCCTAGTGACTAGTACATGTCAATAGCTGCTGTTCCAACAACCCATCATTGTTATCCCTAGTGACTAGTACATGTCAATAGCTGCTGTTCCAACAACCCATCATTGTTATCCCTATTGACTAGTACATGTCAATAGCTGCTGTTCCAACAACCCATCATTGTTATCCCTTGTGACTAGTCCCTAGTGACTAGTACATGTCAATAGCTGCTGTTCCAACAACCCATCATTGTAATCCCTAGTAACTAGTACATGTCAATAGCTGCTGTTCCAACAACCCATCATTGTTATCCCTAGTGACTAGTACATGTCAATAGCTGCTGTTCCAACAACCCATCATTGTTATCCCTTGTGACAAGTACATGTCAATAGCTGCTGTTCCAACAACCCATCATTGTTATCCCTTGTGACAAGTACATGTCAACAGCTGCAGTTCCAACAACCCATCATTGTAATCCCTATTGACTAGTACATGTCAATAGCTGCTGTTCCAACAACCCATCATTGTTATCCCTAGTGACTAGTCCCTAGTGACAAGTACATGTCAATAGCTGCTGTTCCAACAACCCATCATTGTAATCCCTAGTGACTAGTACATGTCAATAGCTGCTGTTCCAACAACCCATCATTGTTATCCCTTGTGACAAGTACATGTCAATAGCTGCTGTTCCAACAACCCATCATTGTTATCCCTTGTGACAAGTACATGTCAATAGCTGCTGTTCAAACAACCCATCATTGTAATCCCTATTGACTAGTACATGTCAATAGCTGCTGTTCCAACAACCCATCATTGTTATCCCTAGTGACTAGTCCCTATTGACTAGTACATGTCAATAGCTGCTGTTCCAACAACCCATCATTGTAATCCCTAGTGACTAGTACATATCAATAGCTGCTGTTCCAACAACCCATCATTGTAATCCCTATTGACTAGTACATATCAATAGCTGCTGTTCCAACAACCCATCATTGTAATCCCTAGTGACAAGTACATGTCAATAGCTGCTGCTTTTAGACTGGTTAGCTTACAGAGAGAAGGTCATTATCAACAGGTCAGCACTAGAGATAAGTTATTATTAAAGAGAACTGTAGTGAAAAAAATATTCACTATACATTGTTCTGAGTCTCTGATTTAAATAAAGTGGAGTATTTTTTCATACCTTCCTCTTGATGAGAGTTCCCATTACTTTTCTCAACAGATGACCTGTAAACAAAAACCCAGACATGAAATAATTCCTGTCAAAGATATGTTTTAGTGGTATCTTAAGTAGTAGGGGTATATGCTATCTTAGCAAGATGTTATTGTTACGTTTAGTATTAAGGGTGTAAGCTACCTTACTGAGATGTTATTGTTACATTTAGTATTAAGGGTGTAAGCTACCTTACTGAGATGTTATTGTCAGGCTAGTATTAAGGGTGTAAGCTACCTTACTGAGATGTTATTGTCAGGCTAGTATTAAGGGTGTAAGCTACCTTACTGAGATGTTATTGTCAGGCTAGTATTAAGGGTGTAAGCTACCTTACTGAGATGTTATTGTCAGGCTAGTATTAAGGGTGTAAGCTACCTTACTGAGATGTTATTGTCAGGCTAGTATTAAGGGTGTAAGCTACATTACTGAGATGTTATTGTCAGGCTAGTATTAAGGGTGTAAGCTACCTTACTGAGATGTTATTGTCAGGCTAGTATTAAGGGTGTAAGCTACCTTACTGAGATGTTATTGTCTGGCTAGTATTAAGGGTGTAAGCTACCTTACTGAGATGTTATTGTCTGGCTAGTATTAAGGGTGTAAGCTACCTTACTGAGATGTTTTTACCAATATTTTTCAATGTCCTTATATTACAAGAGGCAATTGTAGTATTGACCAGACAATGTTTGATGTTATCACCTTTAAAAACAGACTCCATTTCTCAAAAAGATTACTCTGGGTTCTACAGTTTCATCCTGTACACTAAGACTCTCATCTGTCATCAAAGGCTATTTATATAACTGCTTTTAAGAACAAATCTTGTAAAATTCACAGAAATACAATGTTTTAACAGTATTATCACAGGTTTTTGAAGGCTGGTGTACCTTTGTGTTTGACTTCCTCCATTGAAAACTGGAGTACTGGTATGGGCAGGTTTTGCGGTGAGATCAAGAGGTGCTGCTTCCTCTGATGGGCCCGACACTCTGTCCCAGCCCTCATCAAGCTTATCTGTACTTGGTTCTACGTCAGTTTGAGGGTCAACCTCAGAATGGTGTGAACCAAGACCAGAAGGAGGTCGAGAACCTGCATCAGAAGGAGGTTGTGAACCCAGATCAGAGTGAGGCTGTGACCCTAAATCCCAGGGAGTTTGTGACCCTAGTTCAGATGGAGGTCGTGATATCACATCAGAGTGAGACCTTGACCCTAGATCTGAATGAGGTCGTGACCCCAACTCCAATGGGGGCCGTGATCGGAGGTCAGATGGTTCACCATTTAAATCACTACATATACTCCGCGGAGACTGAAAATTAAAGATAGAAATCAGATTAAAAGACTGTAGATTCCTTAGTCCAGCAATTACTTATTGTAACAGGCCTGTTATATAATAATCCTATGATCCACACAACTCCCCTTACAGATGCAAATGTTTACAAAAGTGGATGTTATATTCATAGTGTAATGAATAGTCACCAAATTCAATTGCCGAATCAGAGTATTTGTTTCTATTTAGGCTGTACTGTACTACCATATTAAAATTACCAATGCCCCAAATTTCATTGCTGTTCTGCTCTGTGTCTATCACTATCTATCTTAAGTAGGATCTACATCAATTAAGGAATCTCTCTACCAAGTAGATTTTGGAAAGACCAAACGGTACATTATAACTGAAGAAAAAATTAATTAAAACAAAACAATTCTCGACAAACAACACATGACACAATAACTACAAGCTTAGAATTACGAAATATTAACGAATTTGAACAAACAGGTTCACGAGAACCTTGCAGCAAAATGGATTTTATTTTTGTCAAGTCATACAACAGAGATGTTTCCACCATTGGTTTTATTTTCATTGAATCATTTTTTTTGTTTGAAATTAAATTTCATCTTCAAAATTAGTTATTAAATAGAATTATTCAATACCACGGACCACATTAGCTCAGTCGATTGTTGATCTACGTAACATCGGGTGGAGAACCAAGGTGTAAGGTTTGAAGCTCACTACCTAAGAAAGTTTGTACTTCTCAGAGAGCTGAAAAATTGACCAGCCTGTGTTGAAGTTGTGTCTTTGAGTGCCTCCAACATGTTATTCAGTCTCAAAATGACCCTTGTTGCTACTGAGGTGATTAACCCAACAAACCTTCAATACTAACATCCTTTACTGAAAAAAGTTTCGACTATACTGACCGGAGTTTCTCGACTGCGTGCTGGACTGTGTGGGTGATATTTCCGGAACCAAGATGTCTTCCACGAGTCCAGTTTCCGTCCCTTATACATAATCTAGAACACAGATTATTAGTGGAATCTAAATAGGAATTATGTAACATTCATATCAAATCTGTCTGCTGAACTTGCTGTTAACTGAGATATAGCACTGAGTAACACATCAATTGCCCAGTTAAGACTAGTTAATGAGTATTATACTTCCCCAATGTGTATACGTTGGTATTCCTGTATACAGACATATCACAGATTTCCTTATATCTTTATCTGTGTTAACTGCTAGGTATTTGATTTCTTTGATGACTGCAAATGCAGCAAAATCAAATACCCCATCAATATTATACATTTGAAACTCATTGTCTTGAAATTGCTGGAGTCGAAATTCCATATGAGTCGAAATACTTTTTTAAGTCCAAATCTTTATCCTTCTATATCTTTGTAATTTTATTTTGGATGACTCAAATTTCATTGAGTTGACATTTCGGTTGAGTCAAAGCAATTTTTCAGTCCCCATGAATATTATGTAGTAGAACATGTGATAATGCTACAGTTACTGTCATCTTTGGGCTAGCTTCAGAAAAATTATCTAATGGAAAAATGTCACAATTAATGACAATATATGATTGTCCCAGCAGTACAGAACCTAATATCTGAGCATTTATCTGACGAACAGAGAAGAGACTTTTTATTGTAAATAGAAGTAAATCTATATCATGTAGAAATGGTCAGATTCCTTTAACACTGAATAGGACTCGTCAATGATTAACCTTGTTAATTAAAATCAATATAACACGTCCAGTCTTCTAAAATCCTACATTTATCATGTTTACTGTTAAATAATTACCATGGCACGGAATCACTACAATGTAACCTTACTAAAGTCAGGTGTAAATTACGAGGTCAAGAACTGCCAACATCGGCAAAGTGAAAGTAAATAAGTAAACTGGAGGTTGTCTTTGAATTCCTTCAGGATAAGATGGATATTGAAAACAGTGCATATAAGCATTGAATTGCATACAGTTGGCATGAGTTAAGAATAGCTACCAGATAAATGCAAATAAAACATGAAGCTTGGTTTGCCCTTATTCCGTAGTCATTTACATGCCCATGAATGCCAGCTGAAAGTACCGGTAATTCAACACTTAAGCCTAAGCATCACCATCTACCCTAAAGATATCTAATACTCACAGAGGCCCAGCCACATCCTGACTTTTTCTCCGGATTGATTTGGCGTTTACAGTGCTGAGCCCATGCACTTGGCGTAGCAAACACTTCCTTGGTTGCCGGAGTTTGAATCTTTCCGTTCGGCAGCAGGTCTGCAATGAACTTGCGCCCCTGGAGTAGTAGAAAGATATTGTCTGTTTGTTACTGTATCTATCCTTATTTAGCCAAGGGGTCACCATGTAACCTCCAACTCACTGTTAAAGTGTAGGCTTTTTACAGGACAATAAGCCTGGGTAAAATAAAAATAATATAAAATGGATGTGAGTGAGATTGATACTGGTACTTATTGATAGACAACTGAAGTTAATCAAGGAGTCTGACAAGCCCCATACCACTGACAAATATGTTACTAACTACATTGTTCTCTTGCTTAGATAGGCTGTACTAGATATTTGAGGGCAAATACTGTGCCAGATATATGGAGTGAGATTTGTACCAGATATTTTAGGGTGAGTACTACACCAGATATATGGGATAAGTTCTGTACCAGATATTTTAGGGTGAGTACTACACCAGATATATGGGATAAGTTCTGTACCAGATATTTTAGGGTGAGTACTACACCAGATATATGGGATAAGTTCTGTACCAGATATTTTAGGGTGAGTACTACACCAGATATATGGGATAAGTTCTGTACCAGATATTTTAATGTGAGCACAGCATTTCCTGGCTCCATGATGTGGTCTGTAATTAACATTTGTAGGGTGACACTTCTTCCCGAGATGATTGGTTTGGAGTCCGGAGTGGTAGTCATGTGATGTCCTTCTGTCACCATTTCTGCATCTTCTTCCTCATCATATCCACCTTCTTCTTCCTCAATCTCATCTTTTGTGGACATTTCTGCTCACTTTACAGGATGCTAGAAATAACAACACAAATGTTTACAGATCATCTATATTTTTTGTTTAAAGAAAAAAAAGATCCCTCATTACATATTATCTCCCTTTAAAAAAGAAGCAATTTCTCATAACAAATTATTACCTGTCAAAAAAAAAAACAAAAAACAAAAAAACAGACAGAAAACAAAAATTAAAAAAGAAATTGAAAAGAAACACATTTGCCTTATGTGATCTTGTGAACACTTAACTTCCAGAATGAATTTTATTCATACAGTTATGAATGCAATAAAGCCAGCATCATTATATACACTTTCATGACCATAATATTTAGAAAATAAAGAAATGACAAATCTAACAACTAATGACTAATAACTGAAATATTTAAAAATCAAATTTGGATGCAATACAAGTTTTGAAACATTTGTGCTGGTCAATTGTATGAATGAAAATGATGATGGAATACAGTTTATTATACAGATGTTAAACAATTGGTAATCTCAAAATTTAAGGAATAAACAAACATTTTATAAATATGCAGAAACTCCACAAAAATAGAGAATACTAAAATTAATCATATTCTTTGGAATTATATCAACAGTTTGACTCGGAATATCTTAGTTGTATGTATATGTCCTATGTTTAATTGACACTACGGGAGTTCTATTTATCGTCCTGAACGGAAGATGCCGAGAGGCTGAAAGAACACGCTTGTAGGGAAGTATGTGTAAATGAAGCGATCAGGATACACAGACTATCTTTGAAAACATTGGCTTTATTTTGTATTTATAAACAGAATGGAGTAAACAGCAAGCCTGACCAAAACAAGAAAACAATTTACCATAAGGAGCACTTTAAATTTAAATTGGCTAACAGAACTTCGAAAACGAATGCTGGAATGGAACAAAATGATTAAAAGATGGCAGCTGTGCATGTGGTCGAGGAAGCATGTTGCACAACACATTTCGTGGAGAATGATCAACAATGACAATCTCTCACCTTACAAACCGCAAACCTTGTAGAGGGAATATTATGGTTTACTTTCTTTGTTTACATGTGCTTCCTGTGACCCATTACCTTCACGGAGCAAGAAATTGAACACATTTGATTGGCTAAAATTGAATTTGAAATTTGTTGTATTTTTTATTTTTAAAACAATAAATTTGTTGTTTGTGTACGATGTGTAACAATGTATTCATGGTTTATTTTAGCTCACTGGCTTATGATTGTCTATTTGATTTATTTTCCCCCTAATATTAGAGTAAATTTAGAAAAGGAAGCGGGTTATAATTCAGGATTCTAAACTCAGTTTACGCGTACCCTAAGGTAGGAGTAAAATTGTGTACGCCGTTCCCGGCACCGACCCCTGCCCCGATGTCCGTACCAGGAAAATTAGGAATAATAATGTCTGGAGAACAAAAAATACTGAAAAATCTAAAAAAAAAAAAATACATAAAAATCAACTTAAATATTTTTAAAATTTGACTCTTTTAATGAAATAATATTTGTTATAGTGTGAAAAAATGTTTAGAACCTCCAGCCATTCTTACTATAAGAAAAAAGAATGTTATCGGTTCAAATGTCAGATTTTAAAGATATTTATGTGGATATATGTAAAACAAGTAGATTTATTGATTTTTTTATTATTGAGTTATAGATAAAACGACAGTGATGCATGTGTTTTAAATAAAATGATGATGATGATGATGATGATGATGATGATGATGATATGATGATGATGATGATGATGATGATGATGATGATGATGACTGAGCTGTTAATAAAACGATGGTGATTTTATCCCATCATCCTGCTGATGGAACAACTATAGAGAAGTTTATCTCCCCCTTCTATCGGCTCCACATTCTACTGTCGACCACAGTTTTATGTGCACATACAATTTGATATTTTATCATCTGGATGAGATTCACCATAACAGGAGCACTTTAAATTTAAATTGGCACAGAACACATGCTACGGTGATTAAAAGATGGCAGCTGTGCATGTGGTCGAGGAAGCATGTTGCACAACACATTTCGTGGAGAATGATCAACAATGACAATCTCTCACCTTACATCACCGCAAACCTTGTATCATAATATTATCATCCTGACACGGTATCACTATCACAAAGTATCATCATCCTGACAAAGTATCATCATCCTGGTATCACTATCACAAAGTATCATCATCATCCTGACACGGTATCAGTATCACAAAGTATCATCATCCTGACACGGTATCAGTATCACAAAGTATCATCATCCTGACACGGTATCAAGTATCATCATCCTGATCACACAAAGTATCATCATTGACACGCTAAAATTGAATAAATTTGTTGTATTTTTTATTTTTAAAACAATAAATTTGTTGTCATCCTGACATGTGTATCAATATCACAAAGTATCATTTTATCACTGACACGATCACTGTCACAAAGTATTTGATTTATCATTTTCCCCCTAATATTCATCCTGACACGGTATCACTATCACAAAGTATCATCATCCTGACACGGTATCAGTATCACAAAGTATCATCATTCTGACACGGTATCACTATCACAAAGTATCATCATCCTGACACGGTATCACTATCACAAAGTATCATCATCCTGACACGGTATCACTATCACAAAGTATCATCATCCTGACACGGTATCACTATCACAAAGTATCATCATCCTGACACGGTATCAGTAAAATTATCATCATCCTGACACGTATCACTCACAAAGTATCCATCCTGACACGGTATCACTGTCACAAAGTATCATCATCCTGACACGGTATCAGGAAAATCACATCCTGACACGGTATCACTATCACAAAGTATCATCATCCTGACACGGTATCAGTATCACAAAGTATCATCATCCTGACACGGTATCACTATCACAAAGTATCATCATCCTGACACATCACTATCACAAAGTATCATCATCCTGACACGGTATCACTATCACAAAGTATCATCATCCTGACACGGTATCACTATCACAAAGTATCATCATCCTGACACGGTATCACTATCACAAAGTATCATCATCCTGACACGGTATCACTATCATCCTGACACGGTATCACTGTCACAAAGTATCATCATCCTGACACGGTATCACTATCACAAAGTATCATCATCCTGACACGGTATCACTATCACAAAGTATCATCATATATCACTATCACAAAGTATCATCAAAGTATCACAAAGTATCACTATCCTGACACGGTATCACTATCACAAAGTATCATCATCCTGATTTCAAAGTATCATCATCCTGACACGGTATCATATGTAACAAAGTATCATCATCCTGACACGGTATGAGTTTCCAAAAGTATAATCCTGCTGAGACGTTATCACTACCTAAAAGTATCATCATCCTGACACGGTATCACGTCACAAAGTATCATCATCCTGACATGTGTTTTAAATCAAACAAAGTATCATCATCCTGACACGGTATCATGATGATGATGATGATGATGATATCACAAAGATCATCATCCTGATGACGTATCATCATCCTGACACGGTATCTATCACAAAGTATCATCATCCTGACACGGTATCACTGTCACAAAGTATCATCATCCTGACACGGTATCAGTGTCACAAAGTATCATCATCCTGACACGGTATCACTATCACAAAGTATCATCATCCTGACACGGTATCACTATCACAAAGTATCATCATCCTGACACGGTATCACTGTCACAAAGTATCATCATCCTGACACGGTATCACTGTCACAAAGTATCATCATCCTGACACGGTATCACTATCACAAAGTATCATCATCCTGACACGGTATCAGTATCACAAAGTATCATCATCCTGACACGGTATCACTATCACAAAGTTTGATCATTTTATCATCTGGATGAGATATCACTATCACAAAGTATCATCATCCTGACACGGTATCACACATTATCATCATCCTGACACATCATCCTGACACGGTATCAGACTATCACAAAGTATCATCATCCTGACACGGTATCACTATCACAAAGTATCATCATCCTGACACGGTATCACTGTCACAAAGTATCATCATCCTGACACGGTCTAGATACCATTGATGTTATAGTATTTTTTGTTATTTCTAAGAAGAAACAAATTATTTTGTACCTTTGTTAAACAGTTGTTATTGTTGTTACAGGTTTTGTTGATTCTGTTTATCTTTTAAATAGAAAATCACATCTCATTTATGTTATTGAAAAAATAATTTCTGTATACGTCTAAAATGGAAAACACGTGTATTGGGTTTGAATGCACAACCACGATTAAGTACTTCAAAGTAGGTGATGGCGTCCGTCCTCGTAGCGTTCAGCCATAGATGTTAAAACTTTTGTCCGGAGAAGGTGTCTCTGTTACAGACAGAACATGAAAATGCGTTCAAAGTGCCATGTTAAATATTTTTAATGAAAAGACCTGGACCAGATGACAGTGATGTTGAATCCTGATGTCAGTGTCTGTTTCCACTAGTGATAAATCAACATGCCTATGAATGGCAAACCGAAAGACTTCATCAATGATCTTTTGGGGTTGTGATTTGCGAGACGGCATTTTCTTCTTCATATTTGACCACAAATATATAGACAATGAGATATGATAGCATGGACATGGTGAAGCAGCATGCTACTATTGTCAAATTGTCCAGATATGTCCCATATTCAAGGAATATCATCAACTCAGAATGCATTGTTAACGTTTTGGATAAAATTAAAAACATATATTTTTTTTACCAAGATAGCTTCTTGATTTAAACTTCACAAGTCAACTATAATTAGAATATTTCGATTGATGTTTAAGGTTCAGAAGTCCACATTTGTATCGTCCTATCTTGGACACCATCATTAGTCAAAGGGAACAAGCTGTAAGCCACAATACTGTTTCAACGTGACCCTAATCCTCGATGCGACGTACTTCTATATCGGTAAAAGTGATGATCACACTCTACAGAAAAAAACCTATTGTGGTCAGAAAAAACGAATTATGTAAAATTCTAGAGTATGGTAGACAACGTCGGTCCCTTTCTAGGTGCAAAAATATTAAATTCTGTTGATCACTTGAAGGTCCTTTCGATAAATAATGATTACATAATAGATGATCGTGGTTTCCGAGATATTTTGTGAAAACTGGCCGATTTTGGATATAAGCATTTTATGCCTTCATTTCTAAAGCCCGGAGAAAGTCAACACGATAGTGCAACACTAAACGCTGACAGATGTATCACTAAAACACGACAGTACAACACTAAACGCTGACAGATGTATCACTAAAACACGATAGTGCAACACTAAACGCTGACAGGTGTATCACTAAAACACGATAGTGCAACACTAAACGCTGACAGATGTATCACTAAAACACAACAGTACAACACTAAACGCTGACAGGTGTATCACTAAAACACGATAGTGCAACACTAAACGCTGACAGATGTATCACTAAAACACGACAGTACAACACTAAACGCTGACAGATGTATCACTAAAACACGATAGCGCAACACTAAACGCTGATAGATGTATCACTAAAACACGATAGTGCAACACTAAACGCTGACAGATGTATCACTAAAACACGACAGTACAACACTAAACGCTGACAGATGTATCACTAAAACACGATAGTGCAACACTAAACGCTGACAGATGTATCACTAAAACACGATAGTGCAACACTAAACGCTGACAGATGTATCACTAAAACACGATAGTGCAACACTAAACGCTGACAGATGTATCACTAAAACACGACAGTGCAACAGTAAACGCTGACAGATTTACCACTACAACACGATAGTGCAACATAAACGCTGACAGATGTATCACTAAAACACGATAGTGCAACACTATACGCGAACAGGTGTATCACTAAAACACAGTAAACGCTGACAGATGTATCACTAAAACACCGTAAACGCTGACAGATGTATCACTAAAACACAGTATACGCTGACAGCTGTATCACTAAAACACGATAGTGCAACAGTAAACGCTGACAGATTTATCACTAAAACACGATAGTGCAACACTAAACAGATGTATCACTAAAACACGACAGTGCAACAGTAAACGCTGACAGATGTACCACTACAACACGATAGTGCAACATAAACGCTGACAGATGTATAACTAAAACACAGTATACGCTGACAGATGTATCACTAAAACACAGTATACGCTGACAGCTGTATCACTAAAACACGATAGTGCAACAGTAAACGCGGACAGATTTATCACTAAAATACGATAGTGCAACAGTAAACGCGGACAGATGTATCACTAAAATACGATAGTGCAACAGTAAACGCTGACAGATGCATCACTAAAACACGATAGTGCAACAGTAAACGATGACAGATGTATCACTAAAACACGATAGTGCAATACTAAACACTGACAGATGCATCACTAAAACACGATAGTGCAACACTAATCACTGACAGACGTATTTGATGATGTCACTGAGAATTTATTTGTCGTCAGATCATCTCGTGAATCTCCACAAGCCAGGTGTGATACTGCTTCCGATCTCGGATAATACCAATTTAATTGGATTTATTGCATATTAATTTCATAAACAAATGTATGATGTGGAATTTTTACTGACTGGCGAATTTATCTCACCGCTCGGTACAGAAAATACGACAGACTTACGTGACTAATTGTTTAGCTCCAGGAGGAAATAGTTTTTAAATTACAGGTGCACTGTGTGTTGATTTTCTGCTGATTGATATACCAAGCAATTTGTATTTGGTTGGCATGAATGGCGTAGCTGTGTATATACAATTAACCATTGAACGGGCGTCAGATTGCATTTATCGTCATTATGAATGCAATCAGTGTGACAGACAAATTGGTTTGTTGACAGGGTTTTCCCGTTTCCTCCCGTTCCCTGGTATCGTCTCACCGATCTGTGGATGGCTGCCATGATTATTTATCTGTTATCCAGATTGCATTCATATCGACAATAAATACAATTTGACGATCGTTCAACAGTTATATTTATATATTTAGATACGAGTAAAAATATTAACGTGGGAATGTAATCAAGTTATACAGACTCTTCCCCCCCCCTTCTGTGCTTATTTACTGGAAGAGAGCTTACTGAAAATCATAGTCATTTAAATGATTTTACACAGTGCTGTAGATAGTGTATAATGTCTGAGGCAGGTTGTAAAGGGGTCACTCGCGTATCGTAGGTTAACATGGCGCCAAAATGACGTCATTTTATTTTGCTGTGATCGAGAATGTATCGATACTCCTGTCGATACAACCCCGACTAACTCTCAGAGATCATAATTCAAAATGTAAAAACGAACAAAATGAAAAGTGAACGAAATTATACCTCACGTTTGTTCATGTTTGATTCTGAACCGTAATTATGTGTTATTTCAATTAAATGGTATGGTCTTATGTGAAAATTGTCATGTTCGTCAACGTAAATGTTGTATCATGTGTTATCAGGAAATCTTGTTAAGTCTAAGAAATTTAAAAAAAAAACTAAATCAACTATATGTATTGCGTAAACGTAAAAGCCTCCACAGATTTAGTGTTTACAGAAACATGTTATTTGTATAAAAATCTGTGGAGCGTGATATGTCTTTTTCTATATTTTATTACTTTGCTGTTTTATGATATTGATGAAATACAATTATATATCTTAAGGATGTATTGAAATTCTCATAGGAAAAATCAATTTATCCGCATTGAAACGAGGGTAAATTTTCAACGTTACACTAGCAATAGATAGATCTTAATTGAAAAAAAAATTAAGGTTTAAAATGGAACTTGGCTAAGTGTCAACAATACAAATCAACAAATGATTTGAAACAGTACAGAATTTATCATGATAAAACATATACAAAACATCGTTACATGAGAAATTACTTTCATAGGATAATGAAGGCTTCATCTCCACAGATGGTCAAAGGGGAGATAACTTCGATAACTGTATTACATCATTGCCTCCCTTGTTTACTGTAACTCTCATGTGTTTGGAGGAGAATAAAAGAAGATAATTGAAGAGGATGGTAGTTTTATGTATATTCCTTCTCACTACCCAGAGCCTAATTCCCGACAGCATAATACAACGCGATCATTGGAAACAAGCATTGAAATGATGCTTGGCAGTTCTACATAAAACAGAAACTTCTGTATATATTGATCAGAACCAAATGTGAAATGATATGAGGCGAATTTATTAAACATTAACAGCATTAAGGAAATTTAAAGCAACATAGTGTAGATCATAATTATCTGCGTTCGTGGTGACATGAACGCTAGCATAACCTCGTTCCAGTTCCTGTAAGCTTGGTGAATACATCAATTCAATGATAATTACCCCACTCCATTCCCTAATTGTTCAAGAAGCATGCAAGTGGGAAATTATCTGAAGAGAATGTCACGTGCAGGCAATATCCACTCTTCTGGCATAATACAAACGGAGCATTTTGATGTAAATGTTACGTGTAGAAAAATATATATACATTTGAACATTGTCAAAATGAATGATTAAACAAAACACTTCTGATAATATTGTTCGTCTCTAATCCACATGAAGATCTGTAGATTAGATATTCACATGAATTTCACTGGAAATGATTCACTAAGATTCATACAGAAATATGCAATTAAATGCACATTAAAAGTTGTCCCCGTAACATAAATAAATGCCTGGTATTACTTTCAGACTCCAGGGGCTTTGACTATAAATTAAGTTACCTCCCCTGGGTATTTTCTATCGGGTCATCGATTTCAACCTCTAACCTCATAATATCGAAAATTTTAGTGAGGGATGAAATGTCTTTGATTGAACCCGGAGAAAACTGGTACATTTTGGGTTTGGGTTATGTTAACACCGGCCTGGCACCACTTCATATGCCTTCTCATCAGAATCAAGAAAGGTGTGGTTGACCTTTGACCCTATGATAATTACGAAAATCGTTTTGAAAGTCATGCATAGAAGAAGACGCCCACGGGTAATGTAATTTTAGTCAACATAACAGGAGTCCATCTTTAAGGTGGATAAAAGTATATACAAACGAACAAACAACAATATTATCATTGGCGGGAAATACTTTTCTTGACGTTATGAACTTCCGTTTTCAATATCTCATGCGGTGAAAACACGACATATTTGTCTTAATGTGCCAAGTAACTGCTTGTAATGAATGTTGTTAATAAACTTTCCTAAAAAAAGCGCGTGAAAAACTCCAGCCGCCTGAGCCTCGCGCGATACAAGTTTAGTCAAGGGAGATCACTCCATACGCAAGGTAATGTGTTATCTAGGTCTAACAAGGGAAGATCACTCCAGGCATGAGGTAATGACAATTATTGCACCAGAGTAGTACGAGAACGACCCCATTTCATCCGCATCCAGTTGGTAGGGGCAATACAGGTCACGGAGAACTCTCGTGAGAATGGGCCTTGGTATCGACTCCGGCCCTAGGAGAAAAGGAGATAACAATTTATATTTCCTACATTCTTGGATTATGGGTATCTAAAAGTTCAACGAGCATAAATCCTCTTGAAAATGAAAGATCTTAAAGCAAAGAAATATTAAAATTTAAACAAACTTAATTTCATTCCATCATGTGATACTTACAAGACAATAAATAGAAGTCATAACAATAATTAAATTACCGTAATATTGAAATATGAATAACAAAATTTGGAGAATTAAATAACGCTTGATATTTGTAGACCTCACATAGTTTTAATTATAGAAAAACTAACAATTCTATAAAATTTCCAACACCGTCACTATAAAATGGTACCTTATGGTCGAACAACGGATGTTTAGTGCTGCCCAGCATCCAGTGTATGCTTTTGATAGATTTGGCGGGAGAATCGCTACGACTGACAGGGGATGGGCTAGGTTCCGGTTCCACTTCCGGTTTACTAGAATCCACTCGATATTTGTGGCTGCTCATTGCTCTGTTAACATAAATGTAACAGTGAATTAAAACTACAATTTTGGCCTTGCTAATAACTTAACTAGAAAAAAGACCCAAAGGACCTGTATGGTTCATACGGGACTAAGTATTTTACTGATGATTATAAATAAGATATGAAGTGTTATATATATATATATTTACCACACAAAACAAATTTTCATAGGCCACATTAACAACGACAGAGTTCGCAGTTTCCAACATAAATTGTTTTCCGTCGCTATATGATAGTATGCAAACCGCAAAACCGAGGTGCAAAAATTCGTTACATGGCAAAGATGAGCAAAATTACTCTCTTTAACTAATATATTGCTAATAGTTATTTCGATTGTGTTGGGAAAAACTTAAAAAACGAAAACTACAAACAATCAAACAAACAAATACAAAAGAAAACCCCCCAATAACAATTCTCCCGTAAGGTAAGCTCTTCTAGTGTATACTAAGAGTAAAAGAGAGAAAAAACTTTTTGTCTGTTTAGAGTCGTCTTTTCTAAAGTATATATGTAAACAATTCTATTTCGGTGTGTAAGACAATGAACTGCCATTAGTATAACGATATTGATTAAGGCGAGCGATGTCTTTTGTAGGGGTATATGAAGTAGACTTATCGCCCAATACACTGCATAATATAATGAAAACGATACAAAACTGTTCGTTTACTTTTTGAATTATGACCTTCCATTTCTCAGACTATCCGGATCTAGGTCAGTTCATAGATCAACAACAACACAGCCTCACTTTGGTGCCATATTAACCTAGGTCATGTCAACGCTTGGAACGTCGCCTCAGATTACACACACTTTAGCTTTACGTAAATCATTTAGGTTATTATGATTTTCAGGAAGCTCTTGAAGTTAACAAACACAAACATAAAAGGGATTGAAAGGTCGTTGGATTGTACTTACTGGCGATGAAAATACAATCTGGTTGGAAGAAAAATAATCGTTTTTTTTCATGTCACCCAGATTGCATTAATATTAGTAAAACTGTACAATAGCACTAAAGCATGACGTCACCATATTGGCTGATAAATAAAATAATTTCCTCTGTCAATCGTCAGAATATAGAACAATGAATATACATACATAAGCACGTGTCTCTTGTTACATAAGTCAAATCGTAAACCCATGTTATATTACAGAGACATATCAAACTCGTTAATCAATTTCTTACTGAAATAAACGAGTTTTAATAAAACCTTCATTATGTGAATACTGGAGTCATATCCCTTGTAGATAATTAAAAACAGTCAGATCGATTTGAGTATTAATTGATTTACAGATCAACGTATCATTTAACTATTGACAAATTATGGAAACCTTCCATGATATCTTTGTTCACCCGTCACCCGAATTCCTGATACTTAATAGGCCATCTACACGGAGCTGTACACATACGCCTATCCCTGTCACAGGCGTTCTACGAGGGACGAAATAATTAATCAGTCGTAGCTGTACACGTACGCCTATCCCTGTCACAGGTGTTCTACGGGAGACGAGATAATTAATTGTAGCCGTACACATAAGCCTACCGCTATCACAGGCGTTCTACGAGGGACAAGATAATTACTCCATCGTTTAAATTTTTTATCTTTCATGTCATTTCTTAACTTCGCTATACACGGCAATTAATTCTGAAAACAGAATCAGATGTTTAAAGAAACACATTTTTTCTATTTTAATCCTCATGTACTTAAAGGTACATATATATATTAACCATGATAAACATATCTATGGCCCTTGTTAAGCGCCTATGCGGTGTGTGACACCAATTATATCGCCTCTGATAGGATCTCCCTACGCATCTGGGGGTCGAATCGGGTCAAATAGAACATTAGACAAAATATTCACATGGATCAGCCAAGTCTTTTCTATATTTAGATTTTTTTTCGGGCGGATCTTGATTAAACCCACCTATCCGAGTTTAAAGGTTAGACTATTTATGCGTTATGTAACTGTTAGCATTCAGTAACGTTCATTCTTATATTAAGAAAATGAAAATAGAATATAAAATATTTTGTTAATATTTTAACAAACAACATATATCTGATGATATTTCAAAATCACTAAAACGAGTCCTTATACATATACAGAAAATGATTTCGTTTACTGATTTTCAGAGGACACAATATCGTCCAGATACCATTTTTTTAAAAAGGAGGACTCCTACAATGTATGTATGTAAATATAGGAACATGTACACTGTTTATCGGAATTTTTGGATCTGCTTCCTTCCACAATGTTATGCTTTTTGAAAAACTGATTTCAGTGTCAACTTTTGAGCATGAATATGGCATAACACAAAAGAATCTTAAAAACTGGTGATATTTTGAACATTTTTAAATATCCCGAAAATGAGAAAGAAACAACATTTAACTGGTGACGGTGTGACGTCCGAAAACTTTGACCGGTAGCTGTTTCTTGTTCCTACAGGTTGTTATGTATCTCCCTGCGCTATGATTGAATGGGTGAATATACTACTGTATAATGATTTGGTTCTAGATAAAAGCGACCTCTACCAAGAGTTCCTGACATTTTTAACACTTGTTAGTTAATATAAGGAACGACAACTCTGTGACAAATTTATTTAAACACTGATGAACGACCCGAGGTCTTCATGTATAACATCACATTCAGCATTGTTCCTACTTAAAGGGAGATTGAATTAGGTCACCCTCTACTAAACGGTACCCATATGTCGCCCTCTACTAGACGGTACCCACCTGTCGTCTTCTGCTGAACAGTACCCACCTGTCGTCTTCTACTAGACTTTACCCACCTGTCGTCTTCTACTAGACGGTACCCACCTGTCGTCTTCTACTAGACGGTACCAACATGTCGCCCTCTACTAGACGGTACCCACCCGTCGTCTTCTACTAGACGGTACCCACCGGTAGATCTTTACCAGACGGTACCCACCTGTCGTCCCACCGGCATATCTTTACTAGACGGTACCAACCTGTCGCCCTCTATTAGTCAGTACCCACCTGTTGATTCCGCCATCCGTTCGTTCCCGACTTGTCCATGGAGTCCGGCGAGGAGTGATGGCGGCATGTTTGAATCTCGGTACCAACATGTTGGTCTGTCTGTCGGTCTGGACGTATGTTTGTGGAGGATTGAGCATACGGACGACAGGACCCAATTCTGGAATCCTTACTGTTTCTTCGTAACCATAGCGACTAAAAACTTTGTCATCTACTTCGAGCGGGTCACTGTCCAACTCATCACGTGATACATTGATACGCGGTAGACGGTACTGAATCACGTGTTCAACTTCCTGTTCATCGTCCACGAACGAACGCTCCCTACTAACTGTCGGGCGCTTCTCTCCCTGAATACTCCTCGCTGTTCTTGACCACCTAAAATAGTACATATCGAGAGTAACACAGGGGTCAATTAATCATCGGGGTCAAAGGTTACCGACATCAGTCATGACGTGAAGTATAGAAAACAGGTATGGACCATCTCTACGTCATAACGACTAGTGATATTACCTGTCTCGGTATGTATGGTGACGACCTATACTACTACTACCTGTGTGTAGTGACGATCTATAATATTACCTGTGTGGTGACGATCTATAATATTACCTGTGTGTGGTGATGATCTATAATATTACCTGTGTGTAGTGACGATCTATAATATTACTTGTGTATGGTGACGATCTATAATATTACCTGTGTATGGCGATCTATAATATTACCTGTGTGTAGTGACGATCTATAATATTACCTGTGTGTAGTGACGATCTATAATATTACCTGTGTGTGGTGACGATCTATAATATTACCTGTGTGTAGTGACGATCTATAATATTACCTGTGTGTAGTGACGATCTATAATATTACCTGTGTGTGGTGACGATCTATAATATTACCTTTGTGTGGTGACGATCTATAATATTACCTGTGTGTGGTGATGATCTATAATATTACCTGTGTGTAGTGACGATCTATAATATTACCTGTGTGTGGTGACGATCTATAATATTACATGTGTGTAGTGACGATCTATAATATTACCTGTGTGTAGTGACGATCTATAATATTACCTGTGTGTAGTGACGATCTATAATATTACCTGTGTGTGGTGACGATCTATAATATTACCTGTGTGTGGTGACGATCTATAATATTACCTGTGTGTGGTGACGATCTATAATATTACCTGTGTGGTGACGATCTATAATATTACCTGTGTGTAGTGACGTTCTATAATATTATCTGTTTGTAGTGACGATCTATAATATTACCTGTGTATGGTGACGATCTATAGTATTACCTGTGTGTGGTGACGACCTATAATATTACCTGTGTATGGTGACGATCTATAATATTACATGTGTGTGGTGACGATCTATAATATTACCTGTGTATGGTGACGATCTATAATATTACCTGTGTATGGCGATCTATAATATTACCTGTGTGTAGTGACGATCTATAATATTACCTGTGTGTAGTGACGATCTATAATATTATCTGTTTGTAGTGACGATCTATGATATTATCTGTTTGTAGTGACGATCTATAATATTACCTGTGTGTGGTGATGATCTATAATATTACCTGTGTGTGGTGACGATCTATAATATTACCTGTGTGTGGTGACGATCTATAATATCACCAGTGTGTGGTGATGATCTATAATATTACCTGTGTGTAGTGACGATCTATAATATTATCTGTTTGTAGTGAAGATCTATAATATTACCTGTGTATGGTGACGATCTATAATATTACCTGTGTGTGGTGACGACCTATAATATTACCTGTGTGTGGTGCGACGATGACGATCTATAATATTACCTGTGTATGGCGATCTATAATATTACATGTGTGTAGTGACGATCGATAATATTACCTGTGTGTGGTGACGATCTATAATATTACCTGTGTATGGCGATCTATAATATTACCTGTGTATGGCGATCTATAATATTACCTGTGTGTAGTGACGATCTATAATATTACCTGTGAGTGGTGACGATCTATAATATTACCTGTGTATGGCAATCTATAATATTACCTGTGTGTGGTGACGATCTATAATATTACCTGTGTATGGCGATCTATAATATTACCTGTGTGTGGTGACGATCTATAATATTACCTGTGTGTGCTGACGATCTATAATAATACATGTGTGTGGTGACGATCTATAATATTACCTGTGTGTGGTGATGATCTATAATATTACCTGTGTATGAGGATCTATAATATTACCTGTGTGTGGTGACGATCTATAATATTACCTGTGTGTAGTGATGATCTATAATATTACCTGTGTGTGGTGATGATCTATAATATTACCTGTGTGTAGTGACGATCTATAATATTACCTGTGTGTAGTGACGATCTATAATATTACCTGTGTGTAGTGACGATCTATAATATTACCTGTGTGTAGTGACGATCTATAATATTACCTGTGTGTGGTGATGATCTATAATATTATATGTGTGTAGTGACGATCTATAATATTACCTGTGTGTAGTGACGATCTGTAATATTACCTGTGTGTGGTGACGACCTATAATATTACCTGTGTGTAGTGATGATCTATAATATTACCTGTGTGGTGACGATCTGTAATATTACCTGTGTATGGTGACGATCTATAATATTACCTGTATGTGGTGACGATCTATAATATTACCTGTGTGTGGTGACGACCTATAATATTACCTGTGTATGGTGACGATCTATAATATTACATGTGTATGGTGACGACCTATAAAATTTCCTGTGTATGGTGACGATCTATAATATTACCTGTGTGTGGTGACGATCTATAATATTATCTGTGTATGGTGACGATCTATAATATTATGGTGACGATCTATAATATTACCTGTGTGTGGTGACGATCTATAATATTATATGTGTGTAGTGACGATCTATAATATTACCTGTGTGTAGTGACGATCTGTAATATTACCTGTGTGTGGTGACGACCTATAATATTACCTGTGTATGGTGACGATCTATAATATTACATGTGTATGGTGACGACCTATAATATTACCTGTGTGTGGTGACGATCTATAATATTACCTGTGTGTGGTGACGATCTATAATATTATCTGTTTGTAGTGACGATCTATAATATTACCTGTGTATGGTGACGATCTATAATATTACATGTGTATGGTGACGATCTATAATATTACCTGTGTATGGTGACGATCTATAATATTACCTGTGTGTAGTGACGATCTATAATATTATCTGTGTATGGTGACGATCTATAATATTACCTGTGTGTGGCGATCTATAATATTACCTGTGTGTGGTGACGATCTATAATATTACCTGTGTGTGGTGATGATCTATAATATTACCTGTGTGTGGTGACGATCTATAATATTACCTGTGTGTGGTGACGATCTATAATATTACCTGTGTGTAGTGACGATCTATAATATTACCTGTGTATGGCGATCTATAATATTACCTGTGTGTGGTGACGATCTATAATATTACCTGTGTGTGGTGACGATCTATAATATTACCTGTGTATGGTGACGATCTATAATATTACCTGTGTGTGGTGACGATCTATAATATTACCTGTGTGTGGTGACGATCTATAATATTACCTGTGTGTGGTGACGATCTATAATATCACCTGTGTGTGGTGACGATCTATAATATTACCTGTGTATGGTGACGATCTATAATATCACCTGTGTGTGGTGACGATCTATAATATTACCTGTGTGTGGTGACGATCTATAATATTACCTGTGTGTGGTGACGATCTATAATATTACCTGTGTGTGGTGACGATCTATAATATCACCTGTGTGTGGTGACGATCTATAATATTACCTGTGTGTGGTGACGATCTATAATATCACCTGTGTGTGGTGACGATCTATAATATTACCTGTGTGTGGTGACGATCTATAGTAATACCTGTGTATGGTGATGATCTATAATATTACCTGAGGGTATGGTGACCGTCGAACGGGTCAGCTTGTATGGCAGGTAACGCTATACACAGACCCGTAGCCACTGACATAACTGATGGACGCTGTGATCTCAAATATTGAACTATTTATTTCGGCCCATCTGGTACCCTAGCAATAATAGTCCTTATAAGGATAGCCGCGATCGTCTGATTATAAACGGGCACGAGATCCCAATATAGTCCATATAAAGATACTCCGTGTAGTCCTGGTTAGGATGGTAATAGGATGTCAGTACGATGTCGGATAGGATATTTTCCAGTTGTCCTAAAAACACGTTCCTTTGTATAACTAGTGTTTGGACAGTCTTCCTAGAGTCCTGAAATTCATTTTAACACATTTTATATTACATAGAACGTACTAAGGACATTCTTGTCAATATTCTAATGAACTCACAATCCGTATGGTAACCAGAATTAGGACGCACCTCCTTGTGTCCTTAATCGATCCTTCGTCCTATGAATCTTGTTGTGGGTTTAACGACTTCAATCTCTCACACAAATCATCACCTTAATGTAGATCATCAATGTAATCCATTCGACTGCCCCAACCGCGGGGATATGCTATCTGGTCCCGTGTGTCGCGACTGATAGTGTTAAAAACCTTGATTGGGAATCGTTTGATAAATAGCTCACCAACTCAGTGTTGAACAAACTCTAATCAATTTAGTAAATAGCTGTTGGACTTCTGCCGGGGTTTTAACGCTACTGTTTGACTGGACGGGAACAATAGCTGTGAATTTAACACTATGACAACTTCCATTGCGGCTGGTGGAAATCTAACACAATCACGAACAATGGCGCGCGCTTCAATAATATTTAAAAACCTGTCAAAATACATTGTCTTGTAAAATATCAGTTCAAAAGTACACATATTTTAGTTTTTCTGTATCGTTGCGTCTATAAATAGAATAATATATTTACGGTTCCTTCTGGTGGTTATATTTGTGAAACTATCACAAGCGAAATGTCTTACGGTTTGTTTGATTAAAGCTAACATAGCTTGATGAAACCTGTGGTCTGCATAATACGGGATTATATATTAACCGTTAATTAACCGTACACGTCAGTCGTTATCGATCTCGTTCTTTTAGCGGAAACATGTAGCGATTGTCAAGTCAAAGGCGTAAATCAATATTGTCATTGTGTCTATGATTTATTCATTTTACAATAAATAAATGCTTTAATCCGTATGACTGTATTTAAGCTTAATAGCTATACACCGCCCGGAACACCTCGGACAACCCTTCCTGTTTTAATGTTAGGTAAAAAGCCAATGTGTTCTGAATGACGAATTTTGTCTGCATGCTGATTCGGAGCACAGCAGAATTGATAAGCCCTCCTTATCTTCATTTTGATCTTTAAAAATTGATCAATTTTATTCTGCTTAAATAAACTTTATACCGCTGTAAAATGCGGATGTGTTGACACAGCACAACGCCCAGATCGTCAGAACTGAAATATAGCATTTTAACAATATTGACACAGTCCGAAATACATACCGTGGTATAATGCTATCGGTTGCAATAGAGACCGAGAGTACAAATATAGGCACCATGTTCAAGGGACATTATATCATTGCAAGTTTTCTAAGCTACGAGGAAAAGGGACAAAAGTATATCCTTCTTAATCCCCCACCCAACCTTCCCAACCCCCGCAAAAAGAAAAATCACTTCTAGGAGAGTAAAATCCAAATGATACTAAGTTGCAAAAAAAATATTTGAAATTCTCAATTAGACAATGTAATTGTGTTGACTATATAGCATACTGTGTCCTTGTATTTTGACTGTATAGTATACTGTGTCCTTGTATTTTGACTGTATAGTATACTGTGTCCTCGTGTGTTGACTATATAGTATACTGTGTCCTTGTGTGTTGACTATATAGTATACTGTCCTCGTGTGTTGACTATATAGTATACTGTGTCCTTATGTGTTGACTATATAGTATACTGTCCTCGTGTGTTGACTATATAGTATACTGTCCTCGTGTGTTGACTATATAGTATACTGTCCTCGTGTGTTGACTATATAGTATACTGTCCTCGTGTGTTGACTGTATAGTATACTGTGTCCTTGTGTGTTGACTATATAGTATTCTGTCCTCGTGTGTTGACTATATAGTATACTGTCCTCGTGTGTTGACTATATAGTATACTGTCCTTGTGTGTTGACTATATAGTATACTGTCCTCGTGTGTTGACTGTATAGTATACTTCGTCCTTGTGTGTTGATTCGTAAGCTGTAATATCCTGATTTGTTGATTTTATCGGATACTTTGTCCTTGTGTTGATCTTATCGACTTCTTTGTTCTTGTGTTGACGTTGAGATGTCCTCTGTATATTTGTTGAAGCTATACTAGTATATATTTTTGGATTTTTCGTTGCGTGTGTATTGAAGTTGTTATAGGATTTTTGTTGAAAAATACATATATCTAATTACATTGTACTTACAGAATTGACGTCTACAAAGACATACCTACATTTAAATAGTGTATAATTTGAAAATTCATTTATATGTATATATCTGAAACCATTCAAATATAATCTAATTTGAAAGGCAAATGAAAATTAACCAGTGGAGCAGAGTGCCTTTTGTCGATAAGTTCGTCTTCGCTCTCTAATTACTGTATACAGTTAGGTATATATAACTGATCGGGACATTTAAACGTGACTTTGATACCCCCTCCCCACCAGCGTTTTTAACGGTACTATCTGGGAGGTATGCGTGTAGTATCCGCGTGTAAGAATATACATATATCATACATATATACACATACAACTAGATTAGACAATGGCTATTCGCTCTAAGCTGTCCCGACAGGGTGCAGGCCGAGCGACCGGCTAATGGCTAAATACATCCGATAGCCCATTATAAGATGTGCCATACCGTTGGCACAGGTGTTATCTAATCTTTGGGTGAGGTCGGACACGTGCCGCACTAACAATATTCTAATGTACACACAAACCAACGTGTACAGACTAACAAGGTTCCATTGTACACACAAACCAAAGTGTCCAGACTAACAAGGTTCTACTGTACACACAAACCAAGGTGTCCACACTAACAAGGTTCTACTGTAAACACAAACCAAGGTGTCCAGACTAACAAGGTTCTACTGTGCACACAAACCAACGTGTACAGACTAACAGGGTTCTGCTGTACACACAAATCAACACGTCCAGACTAACAAGGTTCTACTGTACACACAAACCAAAGTGTCCAGACTTACAAGGTTCTACTGTACACATAAACCAAAGTGTCCAGACTTACAAGGTTCTACTGTACACAAAAACCAAGTTGTATACACAATCAAGATTCTTCTGTTCTGCAAGTCTCCCGGTGATAGAGCGAATCTGGTCAGGTTATTCTTCAGGAAGAACATTGGCGTCGATGAAGGAAGTAAGGACATATGTAATAGGATATCTACATTCCGTGGTGTCGAGCATTACCGTCTTCCTCTGTGTAACCGTAAACTGAGACATGGCCATATCTTCGTGCTCCGTAGGGAAGGACAAATGATTGGGTGTCTCGAGGATGTTGACCCCCAGGATATGGTTTTCTATAGAGAAGAACAAATGAATGAATGGCTTGAGGATAGTGGTGGGTGGTGACCCCCAGAGGATGGTGTTCTATAGAGAAGAACAAATGAATGAATGGCTTGAGGATAGTGGTGGGTGGTGACCCCCAGGGGATGGTTTTCTATAGAGAAGAACAAATGAATGAATGGCTCGAGGATAGGGGTGGCTGGTGACCCCCAGGGGATGGTTTTCTATAGAGAAGAACAAATGAATGAATGGCTCGAGGATTGGGGTTGGCGGTGACCCCCAGGGGATGGTGTTCTATAGAGAAGAACAAATGAATGAATGGCTCGAGGATAGGGGTGGGCGGTGACCCCCAGGGGATGGTGTTCTATAGAGAAGAACAAATGAATGAATGGCTCGAGGATAGGGGTGGGTGGTGACCCCCAGAGGATGGTGTTCTATAGAGAAGAACAATTGAATGAATGGCTCGAGGATAGGGGTGGGCGGTGACCCCCAGGGGATGGTGTTCTTTAGAGAACAAATGAATGAATGGCTCGAGGATTGGGGTGGGCGGTGACCCCCAGGGGATGGTGTTCTATAGAGAAGAACAAATGAATGAATGGCTCGAGGATAGGGGTGGGCGGTGACCCCCAGGGGATGGTGTTCTATAGAGAAGAACAAATGAATGAATGGCTTGAATGGTGATAGAGAAGAACAAATGAATGAATGGCTCGAGGATCGAGGATGGTGTTCTATAGAGAAGAACAAATGAATGAATGGCTTGAGGGGGTGGTGTTCTATAGAGAAGAACAAATGAATGAATGGCTCGAGGATAGGGGTGGGCGGTGACCCCCAGGGGATGGTGTTCTATAGAGAAGAACAAATGAATGAATGGCTCGAGGATAGGGGTGGGCGGTGACCCCCAGGGGATGGTGTTCTATAGAGAAGAACAAATGAATGAATGGCTCGAGGATAGGGGTGGGCGGTGACCCCCAGGGGATGGTGTTCTATAGAGAAGAACAAATGAATGAATGGCTCGAGGATAGGGGTGGGTGGTGACCCCCAGGGGATGGTGTTCTATAGAGAAGAACAAATGAATGAATGGCTCGAGGATAGGGGTGGGCGGTAACCCCCAGGGGATGGTGTCCTATAGAGAAGAACAAATGAATGAATGGCTCGAGGATAGGGGTGGGTGGTGACCCCTAGAGGATGGTGTTCTATAGAGAAGAACAAATGAATGAATGGCTCGAGGATAGGGGTGGGTGGTGACCCCTAGAGGATGGTGTTCTATAGAGAAGAACAAATGAATGAATGGCTCGAGGATAGGGGTGGGCGGTGACCCCCAGGGGATGGTGTTCTATAGAGAAGAACAAATGAATGAATGGCTCGAGGATAGGGGTGGGTGGTGACCCCTAGAGGATGGTGTTCTATAGAGAAGAACAAATGAATGAATGGCTCGAGGATAGGGGTGGGCGGTGACCCCCAGGGGATGGTGTTCTATAGAGAAGAACAAATGAATGAATGGCTTGAG